ACACGAACACGAACATGAAATTGCAGCAGCATCGGCCGATTTATGCTTGAATATGGGTTCCGCGGTGGCCATGCAATATAAGTCGAGTTCCATACATAATAACATTGAATGTATTTTCACTAGAATAAAGAGTTTTGTGGATACTCCAAATCGGATTTGTTGTTTTTTTTTTAATTTTGTTAGCGCCCTGATTGAAAAACCCGTTATAAAGCAAATGATAAGTAATGCATAATATATGCAAGTGCTGGTTGCTGGCTTTTTATTGTGGAAAATTTTTTGCCTGCCTATCTATTCGATTTTACCTTTCTCGTGAGTTCATTTGATTGTTGTAAACTCGTAAAAATAAAGTGATTATATATGCTGTAGTAGTTATTCAGTAATTTTTTGTACTAACTATACATTTATTTTTTCTCTCTGAATAGCAAATTCTTCTTCGACAAATTTTTTTCCAGAGCCTACTATTTAATTACCTTTTCACCAAAAAAGCCCTCAAGTATATACATATATATATGTACTATAAGTTCAGAGTAAGAATAATAAAACGAAAATGGCCACGTCTGTGAATGTGACACATTATCTGCCGATATGACTTTAAATTCTCTTTGTCATGTGGCGCACACAACATGTGACTGGTGAAAACTTCTCGTCACACAGCAAAATATAACGAAAAAATGTGGCTGCCTCGTATGTTTGTGTATGCGTTCACCGCGACCACTAAAGGCAAACTCGGTAAAATAATATTATATTATATTACTCTGTGAGAGTGCGCGCGAATGGGTAAACATAAAAGCCGCTGCAAGCCGAGTGCAATTTGAGGAAGTGAAAAAATGCGAAAGATAAAAGTTATAAGACATGCAAAGAAACTTTTTTGCGAGCGTCAAACTTTTCATATCCTTGTATGTGTTTATTTTATATGCTTCGCTTTAGTAATTGTAGCATATAAAATATTGTGGTCATAAATGTATATATTTAAAAGTGCTTAATTGGCCGGACGTTACCTATATTCGCCCATACAAATAACCCATCCCTAATGCTAGATTCCTTGCACATTTCTTTAGAGGGATTGATTTTAGGCTTCTTCCCTAAAATTTCGCAAGTCCTTGATCTGAATTTATTTGTTTTTTAGCTAAGCCGATTTGAGTGTGCGACCGCGTAAAACTGTGGCATATTTGCCTTCCGGCTAACGCAAAAAATAATTCATACAATAACAAATACCTCTATGATGATAAATGCCTACGATGGAGCGACACGGCTGCCTTGCGTATAAACAATTTTCCACCTTCTTTGCATTCCGGATGTGGAGTTCCGTGAGCCCGGATGTTGGACAAACATTTGCGAAAACATAAGCACTAGCCTCCCTTCAAACGGCATAAATCTAGGCACACGTTTTTCTACTCTCAACCTCACAATTTATGCTTATTGAAGCTGTATATTTATAAAACTGTGATGAATGTATGCGTGTATGCTCGTTGAAATGTTTATATTAATGCTCCTTTGTCAATTCTTTAATGTTATGTAAACGCTCAACTTTTTTTGGTTTCCTTAGAGGTTTGTAGAAGCCAAATCGAGATTTATTCATTTTTGAATTGTTCGCCTCGAGCTGCTGTGAACTCTCTTTTTCTATCCTTATAACAACCTCAGACACAGCGTTTATTAAAGACTGGTCTTCCAACACTCAACCTATCAAACCCAAAAATACAAGGTTCTGCATATTGTTATAATCAACGAAAGCAATAATTACGAAGGCGAATGGCCCATGGAGAGAATTCTATGAATAACCACAGGCTTATTATAATCTCCCGTTATTGCTGTACCATCTCCATAGACCGTAACTTGATAAGCCAAATAGGCGTAGACAATTATGTAATTGATAATATATTTTCGCTTTCAACTTTAATTTAGCAAGGAAAGAATACCTATACTCAATAAATATTTATTAAAGTGTGCGCGTCATAAATATGTCTGCTCTCTTAATGAACTTGTTTACTGGAAATAAGTGTGCAAAGCGAACATACTACTCTGGCGCGGCGCACTCGCTTATATCCTGGTGAAATAATATTTACTTACACTGCCCAGATAAACATATGTGTGTGGAGATCTCCGAGCACACGACCAGGTAATTGTATTTGCCTACTAAAGCCACCTTTCCTGCTTACATAAATACAAACTAAATATAAATAATACATAAGTAGATCTTGCGCGTCAGGTCGGCCGACAGAGAACGTGTTTATGGTAGCAATTTCATGCCTTGAGCAGCGACCAACCAAAGTACGAATGACAAGAACTTCCTCACAAATACGAAAAAGCCAAAGTAGTATGTGTTTGTGACGACGGAAATCTATCAGTTCATTGCTCGTACTTAAGCGCTGCAGTTTATTTGCTGCTGCCGTTTGTTGGAATTGATGAGGATTATCCCTTAGGCAAACTGAAAGCAAATTAATAGCGTCGCATAGTCAGCACAAGCACGTAAAACAGACACACATATAATAACTTAATATGCCGATTTGTACCAGCAAAGTTTGCAACAAGTACACAGTTTGGGCTTGAAAACACTGAGGTTACTTATACGCAGTGTAATCCACGTTGCTTTATATTTAAGTATATGTAGTTTTGCTTGTGCCTACTTGCGTCTAGTTGGGTTTCATGATCGTTCCAACTTCAAGCTCAATTGACCACTGCCATGAATTTACGAAATTGTGTTGCAAAGGACAACGTTCAAAAATGATTCATAGTTTTACAAAGATTTACGGATAACAAAACTTTCTTTACCTTTATGCTTTTAATTCATTTTCATACAAAATTTTGTCACTAACGTAAAAGTTGAAAGGAAATACTTCATTAGTTAATTGGAATGCAATTCATATTCATAAAATGCCCATTTCTCTAACTCTCCACAAATTTGGGTATAATTTCTTTAATTATTTTCCTCTTGAAAGCCGAGAGCTACCGCAAAAAGTTTGGTTTGTTGTGGATATTTTACACACCTCTGGTAATGCTTTTAATGGAAACTCTCGTGCTTTAATGGGCATAATGAAAAAGTTTCTCAAACTTTTGTGTTTTTTGAAATATTTTCACAAATTTAAGTGCGAAGGAAAGCGACGAGTTTTTCTTCTGAATTCCATACAAACATTAACAAATGTCGTTTCTCTTTACGCTTTTCGCAATCATTTTGAGAATATAAAGATTGGCATAAATATATTCTCTGAAAACATGTTTTCACTGGTGTGCACACATATTCAATAAAGAAAGATAAAAATGTAAAAGTAAATGCGAATACTTCGATTTAGGTTGCTAGTTTGCAAAATCAGCAATGCCACAATAGTCTGTGTGTCTGCAGACGGACAAAATATTTCTGAATTTATGGAAAAGTGTGATAAGTTATGCAGAAATCACGAAGAAGTCAAAATGAAATTGCGCCTACGCAGTAGACTCCCTTAAGCTGGTCAATTTCTACTCAAATAATGTATGTAATATATATAATACTTTTACACATAACGTCATCTAAAATGCAAAACAACGTATCAACAAAAAATCAAAATTTAGTTTTTATTTCTTATGATTATATGGTGTGTAGCATAAAATGTTCATATTCCGTGGTGTCAGGTAACCAATATATTATGCGAGTACAACCATTTTATAACCACAACTCAAATTTTGTTTCAATGTGAGTGGTTTGTTTATGTCGTTTTCCCTTCACCTGTAAACTTAGGAAAAGTGATGTTACGTTATTTTGCATTTTAGGTGAGGATATGTATATTAAAGTGAAAGAACTCCATCTACTTGAAAGCATGTGGTTGCCATGTCAATTTCTTCATAAAATGTAATCAAGGAATATTTAGTCTGATTCATTATTCCACTACTTGGAAGTATATGATATCCACACTATAAGTGGGCAGTGGCAGTCTAATTTCTTTGGTGTAAATACAGCTAAAAGACATATTCATATATAAGATATATATACATATATTTATACTTTGTATATTTACTTTGAATTTAGTTTCAAAATATGGCCAATTAAATGGAAAAATGCCGTCCGGGCTACATGACTTAAATGCCAAAAAAAAAACCGTAGCAATAACGACAAATCTTTCATAGAAAGTTTGAGTTGTTGAAAAGGGAATGCGTGTCAATTATCCTCTTAAAAAAAGATGATTTGCATATTTTTTGTTGCAAATGATTTTATCATTTGAAATTCAAATTAAATGTCTGGTTTAGGGCAATTTCAATTACAAAGATTGATAGTGAACTTTACAAAAGTTTTCCGGTTTAAAGCAACTTCATGATATTCTTTCTATTATTGTTATAGTTCTAACGGGTGATCCAACTAAAAGTACTTTTTTCAATGGCTTCGTTTGGACAAATCACGCGTAAGTCATGTCAAGAGGTCATGTTACTTTTGTTCAGTATTTTTGGCACTTCATCGGGAAAAGACTTATACATGAACAACATTCACAAATCGCACAAATCAAATTTAATTACTATAAGGAATGTGTTACGCGCGGTTCGTTCAATTTATGGTCTACTGAACTTGAGATCCAGCATCCATTATTCGGTAATATTCGACCGAATATGCATTGTCTAGCACGCAGGGATGAATAAATAGCAGCCGTGGCTGAGAGTGTTCCCGACGGCTGTGGACACATCGAATTAATCAACGTATTTATTAAAAGAATACTTCTCTAAGCACATAATTTCACGTTTGGAGCCGGTCGATGGCCACCTAGACTGTGTGATATCACACCATTAGACATTTTCTGTGGAGATATGTAAATAAATGCCATAGAATATTTTTTCGATTGATAAAAAAATACTCGCCATTAAATTTGTATTTGTTGTTATGTCTCTTTAAACATTTTTTGTAGAAATTTCTTTTAAATTCCAAAAAATTTTCGAGTCATGGTTTAATAATTATAAACAACGGCACGCCCTCAGCCCATATGTTTAGCATGGTTTAGCTGAAATTATTTGTGAGTAGAGAGATATTGACATAATTTACTTACTTTATTTGGTCCCATATTTCTTCACCGAAGTTTTTCAGCACGAGCAGCTCCAAGGCGTAATTAACGAATCCATACTGAAAAGTAGGGGAGGAAATATACATTTATTTTTGATAAAGCACTAGGAGAAACGGCTCTTAGGCAAATAAGTGTGGAATATAAACTAGGCGAAATGAAAAGTTTCACGAATTTAGAATTGTGTGTGTGTGTGCGTGTGTGTGTGTGTGAGGACCTCGCTTTAGTGCGGTGGTTGGGCCGACAACAAATCCAACATCAGCAGTGAGCCACTTAGAGTGTCTGTGGAAAATTAATTAATTTATCAAAAGTGTGAATGCGAAACGAATGGAAAGAGAACTGAAATTCTAATGGCATATAATTATGTGCATACATACAGACATACAAACGCAAATGACAAAAAAGAAAAAACTGTTCCCCCATTCCAAGTGGAATCAAATAAACTTTGCTGCAGCAGCGTCAGCTTGCGTCAAGTAGGCGGCATGGAATCCGATGTGGCAGCTTTTTATTTTTCTCTTATGACTTTCGCCATTTCGCATCATATTTCACTTAACTGATGTAATTTTCTTTATCCAATAGTATTGCATTTGCGCTCGTTCATGCGCCATTCAAGGTGTGAAGCACGCTTTCTCTTCCCATAGACACGGACCTACTTGACCCTTTGTGTTGCTGGACTTCCAACGGTAGGGATTTCGTGCAGCGTTGCGGACGCTGAGCCGATAAAGATCTTCATCTTCACACCACTGGACACACAAAAGCAGGTGTTTATTGGACTGCTTTGAATCGCACTCAACCGAAAATGGATTGCCGCCTGGCAGCTTTTAAACTAACCTTGGTAGCCGTTTTTTTCTTTCACTTTTATCGATAACGCAGAAATGCTACTAACGGTTTATGCGGCGCTTAAAATGAAAAATTATTCTTTGTGGATTGAAGATTGGTTATAGTTTTCTTTACTTTAGAATCCTTTCCTTTTTGCTGGTTCGTTTTTTCGTCGATTTGAAAATTAATCTTTAAAAACGCCTAATTTTGAAAAAATGGTGCTCCAACATTTTATCACAGGTCCTTTTGGTAATGAGTTGTTGTGATAAGAAGTTGTTTCGGTTGACTGAAATATCGAAAAATAAAATCGAATTTAAAAAGAACTTTTTTATGGCTCTAAATACGCGTAAATTAAATTATCAGAGCAGATGATGCAAGTTCCGATGCAAATTTGTATTTATTGTTTTCAAAGTCAATATCATTATATCCGGCAAATGATTGTAAGCACGCTATGCACTTGCATCCGGTTTGCTGTGCTATAATAGCTTAGAGGACAGCTTAAAATTAAATGTACAAAACTGCACTTTAGTGGGTGGAATTACGAAGTGTGCTGTGTAAAATTGCTCTGATGTGGTATATTTATAATTGTGTGATTTGAATGAAACCCAATATTTTACGAATTTTTGCAGTTACATTTGATTTCAGGAATGAAGACTTCCTTTCACGAACTCCAAAGTTTAGCAATCACAACTTCACTGCTGCTAACTACACTTTTAGGGTAAAATTTTATATGTTTCTGCACTGTGAGGGCCAATGGCTAGTAGATGGAAGATGTAAAATTTAAATCTCGGCGGCGAAAAACCGTCAGCCGTCTAATTTGCTTCATCATTTCTCACTTATTATTAGCCCACAACGCTGTTTACTGACATTGAAAACGTACAAAAACAAATACGCGAGCAAAAAGTTCAAGGCAGAAGCGTAGATTGTCTGCTTAATCGCTTGTTCAGTCGCTCAGTGAATTATTCATACCTTCTGGCCGCTTATGCTCACACACACACATACATATATGAACGCATTAATGCCCGTCGAGAGTATGAATTATAAATATTTATTAAAGCTTAATGTGTCTGCCAACAACCGCAAACAGCAACAACACTGACGACCCACAAGAAACAAGAAATACAAAAGCGCGAAATCATTTTGCCCTGTCAACTTCGATATTACAACAGTTATGTGAAAATTTAAACTAAACAAACAAAACTAAAATCCGAACGTAGACCGCAAGCACTCTCCCTTCATGCCGAGGACGCTTAAACTTTTACGAACACAAATAAACTCTATATTCGTATATATATGTGTGTGTATATGATATACTAGTATATAAGCTGTGTATTCTGCCTCGCCCTCTCAATGATGCGCTGAGAGTTTTCGCAATTTTCCATTCACAAACAGCTCCTCCGCCGCAAACGGTGGCCTATGGCGCGGGCGTTAATCCCGAGCTCACTGCTTACCTCATGACTTTGAATGTGGGCACCAATGCACAGACATATGTTAGTATGGTATATGGTCTGTGTTCTACCACATCCAATCGAATTGATTGCGGAAATCCTTGAAGGTGTTCACATGGAATGGCTAGTTGTGCAGCCCGCCGGCTAGTGCAAACCGCGCGTTCCCTGAGCGTAAGCAGTCATTATCGGTTTGACCTGACGTCACTTTTGCTTTATTTAGCACTCCTTTTGTCACTGTCGTGATTAGTGCTTGGCTTGACTTTATCCGCTTGGATTGTAGTTTTTTATTTGCCTGTAATTTCTTTCATATTTTATTGACTTCTGTTGGCAACCTTTCTGGACAAGAAAACTTCATTGTTTTAAGGGAAAGCAGCAAATTTTTTATGTTATTTCAGATTTTAGAATCTATTCAGAAATATTTGTATAAATCTAAGGAATGTTGTTGGGAAAGGTTCGAGTTGAAAACGCAGAGAGAGCCGTCAGGCTGTTGGTTTAAAGCTTTCTATAAATTTCTGCCGCTTCGGTCAACTTTTAAGGATATCTCGATCAATAAAAACGACGTGAGCTATTCCGGAAGTTGTCTGATATCTTAAATTCTAGCAACCGCATAAACCTAATCCTCGGAAGAACTTAAAATTAGCGCTTCGTTCATTTGTGATTGAAATAATCCACTTTTCAAGCAAAAATAAAAAACCTCATCAATTACTCTTGATATATTAGATATGTAGAAAAGGGATCTGAGTAGAATATGATGAACTCAAAAAATGTGTTTTGAAAGTAAATGAAAAAACTTTAAAATTAATAAGAAAACCGTATATTTGTTTAAAATCGCAATCACTAACCATTTTGGATTGGTGTGGCTAAATCGTTTGATGATGGAAACTCCGTAAATTTAACTGCTCCGCTTTTGGAACTTATGCTTGTGCATAAATTCAATTTTGGTCTGCAGGTAAGCTTCGTATTTCTTATATTATATTATGCCCATTTCAGGGTTATAAAACAAAGAGTTTAAATCGGTGCCCCACTTGTTGAGTCACTTGCACAATTGAGCGCGAACTGACTATCGCGCGCATATGTCGAGACCGAGAGGATTTTCGTCACTTTATTGAGCCACACCGGCGAGTAGGCACGCGGAACGAGCGATAAGCGACGTGATGACGAGACAGACTTAACTATGACTACACTCGCACACAAAAAAATAAACGAATGTTTATTTTCACCATTGCATTTTGCACTTGCACACTCAAGCCGACGGGTCGATACGGTTTCAGCGATTTTCCGGCTTCACTTCACGTCATGTTTTGTGTTGTTGCTTTGTTTCAAGCAGGCCGGAAAGACTATGCACCGCTTTTTTATCGGTGACTTCAATGGAACGGCGAACTGTTCACTATTTTTTTGCAGTGCTTTGGCTAGGGAAAGCTTTTCAACTCATTTGCATGCACTTCCCTCCCTCTCTCTCTCTCTCTCACTCCAGTTTTGTCGCAATTTTTTATTTTATTTTGTTTTTATTTGCGTTTTTCTTAACTTTTCTATTGCTTTCGATTTAGTTTACACTCTTACTTTCAAATTGCCCTGAAGATTTCTTTTCTTGGTGAAATAAAAAATGAAACTTTATTTTATGTATTTTTTTACTCCATCCGTCAGAAGGACATCAAAAGCAGAGTTGTAGAAATAATTAAAATTTATTTTCCCGACAGCCTGAAGGCTCCCACCGTTTACTCTTTGTTAATGCGTATTTTGGCCAGCTAAGCTTAGAAAGCCTCTTGCTGGCCCGATCATTCTGTTCTAAATTAGATATGCCTATTAGCTCCTTTGGCACTTCCTGACTGTATAAAATGATTTGTGTAAGCATTGGACGAATTGAATATCTTCAAAATGTTACTCAAGCAACGCTTTCACCGACACAGAAGTATTTTGGCCTAGTCGAAGACCAATTAGTAAATCATTTAAAACAAAAATTTAAATTCTTTCCACCTGTTTTCAAACACATTTTTCTCTCTTCACTATTTCGGGTATGCTTTTGGCAAAAAAGACTGTCTTGGTTGCACGTTTCCCTTTGGTGCGCTTTTAAATTTTGTTTTCGCGTTTAAAAAATCGATTTTTTCCCTTCGGTCGCTGTGTGAGCAAGTTCGTCGTGTTAATTTCAGCGGCCTTAGACGTGCGATTTTTCATGCATACATGCATACAAAAGCACATGTATGCATGTATGTGTGTATGTGTATGTAAGCATACAGAAGTATGTTGCCAGAGCTGCGCTGGATTATTCTTTACATGAGGAAGCTCGTGTGGAAAATCATATGAACAAGTACAAGTGGTGTTCTGAGGAAGACATATCTACACCCTTCAGGTGTGTGACCACTGTGGCATATACAAACGTTGCATCGGTTGTTGCTGCTGGCGCTTAGGATGCGAATAAATCAAGAAAAAGCATTCCGACACTAAAACACTTACACACACGTACATACATACTTACTTACTTACATATGCATGTAAACTTCCACAGTGCTCATAGCATTTACAAGTACAACAAATATATACGAATGCACATATGCATGTATGCATATACGTATGTATAGCTATGGTAGAACATTGACGTTATTGTTAGCGGTGCTGTTGCCTGTGCCGCATTACTCATGTTGCTATGAACCTACTGTTTGCTTGTTGCTTGTTGTTGCTGCCACACAATAGCTCACAACGGCTCGGTGGTTGTCAATGACCTACTCTGCCAAATGGTGTGCAACAACAGGCGAGTCTTTAGCGCTTGTTCCTTTGGCTTAGCGAGTTCGTTGTGGCTGCCTGAAATTGAGCCAATTCTTCGTAAAGCACAAAGCCACGCTTCCACCTATTTATGTTCATATATGTATATATGTATGTATATGCATGTTCATGCTCGTGTGGCAACATATTTAAGGTGTGGCCAAATATGACCAAACAAACCAAAAGCTGCCACACGCCAAAGTCAACGATTTAATGTGAACACTTTCTTTGCTTGAATTTGTCACACTGACTTTCTACCTATTTCAGTATTCAGCTTTGTTTTTCGAACAGACATCTCACTCAGTGCAAGATTCTAAATTATCGCATTTTAAATCAGACCATAAACCATTTTTGTCAGAGCTTTCGTGTTTTTTCCTTGAAGCATTTTTTTTGCGATTTCAGTTAGAAATTTGTTTGAACCTTGGTTTTATGAAACCAAATGTATGAAAGAACATGTGGAGGTTTTCATGGTGCTTTTTTATTAACATTTACAATCAGCAAAACATTTTTCATCTTCCCGAAAAAAGATTGGGAAATGACTCAATATGCTAATAAGCATCAGCTTTAAATAAAACATAATGAAGTTTTCGTGAAATGAAAAGCGAAATCTGAACTCCAAGGTTGAACACGCTTTCAAAAAGCTAACTTTTTCAATTACATGATCAACTACAAATCTAAGTTTCTCATACTCTAGCAATATGTTGCTAATGTGTATACTATTGTTGTTCACCTAGTGGTGGTTTGTAACACCTACAATTAGTCGAGATAGATATAGTATATAATGGGTGAGGTACAAGTTGAGGTACTTTTTTCAATGGTCCTTTTTTGACTTTGACAGCTCACACTTTAGATGTGTCTTAATGGTTGAACTTCCTTACGAAAATTCAAGTTCTGTATAGAATGTGTTCAATGCGCTTCGCTCAACTTATGGTCAAACTAATAGGCCTGCAGAGTGTACTGTTCGCAAACCATCGCCTATCTTGAGACCTAGCATTAATTAATCGATAGTTTTCAAACGACATCACTTCCTTCTTTGGTCTATAGAAAAGTTTCACAAAGATCCGACATTTTCGTGGCAAATTTTGCTCAACGAAGAGGCACATTTCTGGCTCAATGGGTATATAAATAAACAAAATTAACGGATTTTGGACGAGAACAAGCTGAAGAGATTCAAGAGCTGTCATTTCTTTAAAAATGTTATTGCGCCATTTTAACCGACTATTTGGTGCCTGAAATTGAAGCTCGTGATTTCGACGGCATTCGGTTTCAACAAGACAGTACCACTTACCACATATCGCATTATTCAACGGATTTATTGAGAAAACACTTCGGCGAGCAGAAAATTTCACTTTTTGGGCCGGTCGATTGGCCACCAAGAACGTGTGATGTCACACCATTAGATTTTTTCCTGTGGGGATATGTAAAGTCTAAAGTCTATGCGGACAATCCCGCTGCGAGTCAGGCCTTGAAGCAAAACATTTCGCGTGCCATTCGCCAGTTTCCTGTCGAAATTCTCGACCGAGTCAACGAAAATTAGACTCAACGAATGGAGCGTCAAACATGTTATGTCGAATGGAAAGGGGCGCAGGGTCTCGTTTCAATAAATCAAATAAAATAATCAGCTAATTTATATTCTCGTCTTATCAATATTTTCTGTTCACTTCTAATATAAATATTTTGCAAGGTAATTTATTTATTTATATGCGTAATGAAAAGTTTCAATTTTTGTTACACGTTGCAATTTTACCTCCTTTCCCTAGTGGTATGTGAATTTGTTTTACATATTTGATTTACCAAAGAAGTCATCCATTTAAGTAGTATAATATACAACATCTGCGGACCTAGTTGGCCTCGTTCAAAGTTCTTTGCACAATGTCCCACTGGAATCCAAAAGCGGACCAGTTTCTCTCCCAAAGAAAGAAACATTTTATTTTCGGTTATGAATATAACAACATGAAATCGATACTAGTTTCAAAAATCTAATTTGTGGCGACACACCACAAGTTTGGTACTCGCTTACCCCAAATGCTTACTTTTAACAATGAAACCAATTTCAAAATTAAAATTCCGCAAATAACTGAAGGAGCAGCCTGAGTTCTGTCTAGTTGGCGGCTATGATCCAGCACTCTTATTTCAAATTTCATATGTGTTGCTCTTGACTCGGGAGCACTCCACGACTCAAGTGGAGCACATTTTAAATGCAAGCGTGGGGCATTGGTGACCTTTGAGGAGTGTGGGGAAAGCGAAGCGTGCAAAAAATGTTTGTGGTGCGATTAAATGTGTAAGCAAGCGTTGCGACTGTTCTATCATGACATAAACAGGCGGCATTAGTGTTCAAATGTAAACAACTACATATTCCCACGCACCCACACTTACATATGAATATATGTGAGTGCATTGTACGTAGTTCAACTTAGTGGCGCATGGTATCAGAGGTAAATACATATGAGCCCTAGCATCGTGCCTTCTTGAATGTCCTATGACAAGTGAACAGTGCAACGACGGCAATAACAACGGCAATGTGCCAGCAAGTAGTCGAGTACAAAGACCACCTTGTCAATTATTTCCATGTGTGTGTGCGCGGGGGTGTATGAACAGCTGGAATGGTGTTATTGTTAAGTGAAGCGGACAATTGGCTTTGAGCTGTCGCTGGAGCTAACAAACGGTTTTGCAAACAAAATAAACTTTGTTGCTACAATATTTGCGAGTATTCAATGGTCGGCAGACGAGCTACAGCTAATTCTGTGATTATCATCTAATTTTATAGACCCTGCTTGCGTTTCGATTCGAGTAAACACTGAGCGATGATAAATGACTTTCATAGTTCAGCAAATGGAGAGGTAAATTATTATTGCGCCGACAATACCGATAGTTATGACAGTTTGAGATTGAAAAATTTACAAGCACATGCACATCTGAGACATAGCAACGTTAAATAATTTAAAGTGATGATCACTTTAACCAAATTAGAGTTTGGAAAAGAATTTTTCTAGGCAAAATAATTAAAATAGAATTTTTTTATTATTTTACTCATGCATGCACGGTTTTTTTTATTTTTTTTTATTTATTTTTTTTTTTATTGGAGAAAGTAACCTTAAGCTGTCGGTTATTCACCAGAAACACTAATAGTCTTTGTAGATCTAATTGAGGAAAGCAAATTAAATGAATTTAGTCACACTCTTTGTCAAAGTTCATTGTCTCATTTGCATATATTTAGTTAAAACAGTGTGTTCTTTGCCCTTTGTAAGAACACATAGTATAACAAAACACAGTACTTTTTTCTTAGGCAATATGCAGCATTACTCTACCGAGCCGAGCTCCTCATGCCTTAAGGAAATTCATCTTGAAATTAGGAGAGTTCGAGACGTTCAGATTGTGATTACTTTTTCAGTACAGTATCTGGCGGACTCTTATTTGTATATGTATATGAGCGCACAATTTTGAAATTGTCAAATTACCTAAACTTGCTTTTTATATAATTTCTGTGTCTGATTATTCAAAATTCTCCATTACTTTGTAGCAAAGATGCAACACAATTATTAAATATTCTTTTATGTTATTTATGTTTCAGCTGACATTTTAGCCCTTTGATTTAACTTGTTGCTATCTATACATTCTTGTCTTCAATCGGAATTCACTAACTGCTTAAAATGAAGCCTGAGCCCTCTGTGTATTCACAATTGTTAACAGTTTGTGTGGAACTATCTTATCACACGCCCTAATGCGTTACGGTGGCGTATACGCGACGTGCACTCGTAAGTAGGAAAAGCGCGCAGATTGTGGAGAGATGCCTTGCAGCTTACGTCTTTAAGTGACCGAACCGACGAAAACTTTCACCAACGGTATAATACCGTTTTAAATATTTGGATATTGTGTACTTTTAATTTCAATATTATATTTATTCGTTTGGCACTGTTTCCCGTTAAAGAGGTAATTCGCACATCAAAGAGCCGTCAACGACTGAAGATTTTCCATGCAGTTTGCACTATAAATATTGCAGCACGATTTGCGACTCAAAAGGATGTTCGGCAGTTGAAGGATGATAAGCTTTTGGGAGCATAAGAGAGCCGAAATCAGAAAGGAGTCGTCGAATTACTAATCATGCGCAGTTGGAAGCGCACAAGTACTCTTAATTTCTACAAAGAGAATTGGACGATTCCAGGAGGGCAGAACACCATCGCTTGGCCGCAATCACACTGCAGATGTTAAACTAAAGTTGGAACGATTCTTTAATTTTTTAAAATGATTTTTATTTGCCTAACCTTACAGAAATCATAAATCACCAGCATAATTTAACAACAATATTTACAGATGAAATTTTTAACCAATGTAGTTCGTACATTTATTACATTCTCGTGATTCATAAAAGAAGATACTTCACTTAGTTTCCGCTGTGGCCCAGACTGTAGCTGTAGCCCAGATGGCCGAGCTGACTGAGCTGAAAGATGTTAGCCGCTGCCGGCGCACTGTTTCCGCTGAACGCATGCAGACCATTTTTGACGCCCTGGAACTGATAAATTTTTTCACTCCGTTCAAGGCTGTAGGCCGGAGTATGGGTTGGTACTAATCGCGCGACTCCACTCCTGTAACCCGTGCTATTGAAAGCACTCAAATTATCATCGTTATTGTAGAGAGGGCTTCTGGCTTGAGCAGAGGGTGTGAAGAGCCGCTGCGAGGATACCGCACTTTTGCTGGGATACTTGAATCGCATGAGCCGGAAGTTGATCTCATCTTTGTTTACCGTTTCTAGTGTGAAGCGGTTAAATTTCGAGGACATGGCATAGACTACGTCACTCTCCCATGGTGATGCACTTATATCCGCCACGAACTGCAGCGCATCTACGTCGTAGAAGAGCACCGCCTGTTGCTTTGTTTGTGGATTCCAAGACACGATCGCAGTTTCCGTTACCGGGCTGAAGAGCAGGCTTCCATCCTGTGGCGCAAGGTATAGTGGAAGACCTTGAGAGGACTTTTTACCAAGGAAGCGTATGGGCAAAATGTCATGCAAACGTCGTGGTCCAGCGCGTAGAGCATCTTTGGTAATGGAGAAGATGCTGCAAAAATGTATGCAATTTAAATTAAGCTAATTTATTCTTGTCAAAAATTTCTATATTAAATTTTGATCTCTTCGGTATAAAGTGTAATATTTATAAATTATATATTTATATTAATTTCATTTATATCTTAATCTAATTTTATTGAATGAAGAATTTAAAAACTCTTACCGGTCCGTGGCCAGTGGTTGGAAATAAAGTATTCCGCTTACTGTGTCGAAAGCTAAACCAATAATGCCGTCCATAATGAAGAACCGGTCATTTAGCACTTGTACCAAGCCCAGATCGGGATCGGGCCACATAGCCGGGTGTGAGAGCCGCCACATCATATCACGTGCTCCGTCGTACACAATTATCGCTGACCAATAAATAAAATGATTTCAAATATAATGAATAATTATCAATCTTCTTAACACAGATTAGTAATAGAGCATCAATATCCTCTCCTTTAAATATGCAAATAATTCCATGCAAATGCTATTAATGTGAGTAATTTTGCAGCTTCAAACTTACCAGGTTTTACAGTATCCGCGATGTAGACAAACACATCGTCGCATGTTCCTGAAATAGATGTCGTTTCGTCAATGATCAGATTGACGAGGATCGACTGGTTGCGCAAGACATCTCCCTGTAAATGAACATTTCCCAATAAATATTAACGCTACTACTGCGTCTTGAAGGTACTCACTGGAATGTCGATGCGTCGAACCACTTGATCTGTATTCAAATCGAATACCAGTATTTTGGGTTGGCAAGTTTGCTCGGAGTCTTCGAAGGTGCGTGAGACACCGGCGTCTAAGATCCATAAACGGTTGCAAGAATCGATGCGCATGCGATACACCGACACCAAATATGAATCGCTGCAGTTGAACGAGCTGCGGCCGCTGACCGTATACGACCAGTCGGGGTAAGACTACAAATTAACGTGAATTGTTGAGTTAAAGTGCAAAAATGTGTAACTTTCATTGATTGCGGCAGTCAATGCAGCACTTACACGCAAGATCGGTGACTCGCTGTAGTCCACCTTCGGTACATAGCTGACGGTTGTCGGCACGCCGGCAAAGAGTTTGGGTGTAGCAATGTAAATCCGATCATAACCCACTGTCATACTCGTTGGCACTATAGTCAGCGGATTGTAGTAGTTGGTGTCGGAGACGGGTGCATTTTGCGGAAATGCATACGAGAAAAGCTTCCATTGCTTAACAATTTCCAAATTGGATCGCACGGCCAGAGAGCGTGCCGGCCTAAACCCGCCAAACAACACGTTGTGGACAATCAGCAGTGTCACTATGAAACCGGTGCGCACGCGCCACATATTCGTTCGAACATACGTTTAGTTTACGACGTTTTCCTGTGGAAAATGCTTGTGTCGGGCCGATTAAACGCCTCGCTGATTTGGTGTATGGCAAGCAGTGACAGAGTTTTTGACAGCTGCGCTTTTAACTATCGGCACCATATACAATATAAACGACTGTTGTTTGGTGAGTTAATTGGTTACACAAATTAAATAGTTCTTTTAATGGCTAAATATTATATATATAGTCAGTGGCCCGATTGCAATTAACATAGCAAACTAATTGCCTTTATATTTAATAACATATTTAATTTTAGTGGCTCTTCAAAAAAGCTTGAACCATTCTCTAAAAGGAGCTTCGGCAAAAGCGAAAGTGAATTCACTGAAACATCTACCAGCATGGAGTTACTTATCTTAAATTACAATATGCCAAAAATATTAGAATTGGTTTGAATATTCTTCTAAAGTCTGAGGATTTGTATTCTGTCAAAAACCACAACTATTTGCAAATTATACCTTTTGACACCGTTTGTTTGAAAAGCCTAACCATGCTAGATTTTTTTGATAATTATGAAAGTTCCGATTACTCCCAACATACTACTTATGTGAAACAAAATGTTTTCCTATGGTCTATAGCTTAAATACTATCGATTTGTATACCCTATTTGAGACTTATTTATTTCCACTGTTGTTTATAGTGAGACAATGGTTAGAATATCATTATTAATATTAATATTATTATTATTTAATTTTTTTTGTTGATACTATATTACACAATGACTTTTATTTCAGTTAAGTGAAATAAAAATGATAAATTGACTGAACAGCAAATTTTCACAAACACAAGTGTAACAGAGACCAGATACTACTCCAACAAATAAGCACTTGTCTTTTGTTTTTTTATATTTAAACAATTTTGATCATCCAATCATAATATTAGCAATTTAACACATTTTGCTCGCCGCGATGAAGCCAAACCATTCACACCGAGACTTATCTCGGGCAATTTGTTCGTTGTAAGAGACAAGGCACAAACGGAAATATTGTTGAAAGCCACACATATCTATGTATTATGTAAATGTATGTATGTACATACTTGTGTAACTCAAATAATATCATTTAATGTATCGTGGACGGAAACACAGCCAGCTTGCACTCTCATCGAATTACATGCGCTCAATGAGCATAAACGGCGTAGACATATTTACGCACCGAGGTGTGACTATGTAAATACTTGTATGTGCGTATGGTCACTTCAGCGCACGTTTCGTTCAAATCGCAATTTTCAATTGACCACAGACTGCACTGACTGCACGTAACCCCTGCGGCGCGTGCTGAGCAGACGAATCCGCTCATACAGAGATAAGCACATGTGCATGAAAAATACGTACATATTTACAATAACACTAGCATTCAGCGTATTTCCCAAAAATTAACAAAAAGCAATCCAATAAATTATAATTTTTTTGGCTCACCAATTCAGTAAACATTGAAAATGGAAACTTTCATACAAATATTGACATGGGTATATGTGTGTATCCATTGCTATTGTTTCTCGATATCAGAGCCCCACTTTCTACTTCCATGGGGAAATATTATTTTTCTGGAAAATGATGCGCTTTCTGCAGGGCAAACCATTGAAACTCGAAAAACTGCTCCAAATTATTTATAGCTGAATGCAAAACTGTTGTCAATATGAAAATATTTTTATAACAATGGTACTGTAATGTTAGAATAGAGATATTTTAAATAGTGAGATATATCCAAACTATATACGAGATAAAGAGGCTTTTTATCAGTAATGACGAGTCGCAGAAGTTGTTGATCACCAACTGCTATTGCTGATTGTAACAGAAACAACAAAAAGCATTAACTTTAGTTGTAACCGGTGATCCAAGTAGAGCTATCTTTTCCAATAGCCTCTTCTTTTTTTTTTTGACAGATCACACGTCAGTCGTGTCAAGCTGTCATGTTATTTTTGTGCACTATTGTTTATTATTTCATCATGAAGAAACCTACGTCTGAACAACGTTTATAAATCTTTCAACTTTGTTACGAAAATTCACGTTATATAAAGAATGTGTGTTATTACTCAGGATTAATTATTGAATGTTACTCGATCAAACAGACCACGTACAGCACTCTGATAAGAAAATCTAGCAGTAAAAGCTGAGTGTACACGAAGACCGTGAAGAGTCGTAGATGCGGTCAGTATTTTTCAATATCGGCATTTCCGACAAATGAGCAGTTTCTTGAAGAGAAAAGAAACATTCCGAAAACTTAATACACCTAGTTCTAATCCTTAAATATATGAAATAATTATAACGACCGACAAGGACTTAGTTCAAAGGAAAAAACACGATGATACTTATGATAAATTAAAATAAGAATTATTGAATTGACGTCCAAACATTGACAGACATTATCTAGAAGAGAAACTTTTCAACATTTGGTAAAAGAAAAAGTCTTAAATAGTTCAGAATTGCAAGGTTTCCCTAATGAATAATAGAAGTTTGTTTCATATTTCTGAGTGCACAATGTGTGGCCGCCTTCTACATTGAATTCATTACTAATAAAATAAAATAAAAATAAAAGTTAAAAATGTTTTCATACATATATGCAAATATGTATAATTACATATTTTAAGAATTGAGCTCAGCCATGCTCTATTTATGCCGCAAAGGAACGATTTTCTATTTTGTGCAATAAATTGCTTATAATTATTTGAATTGTGAGAGATACTTGTATTGATATTTTATTATTTTTATATAAAGTAATTGCGGCAGGTCGTGTGTGCGCTTGCTCTACCTTCAAATATATGTTATGTTAAACATACTATATATAGTATAAATTAAGCCAATTAGAGTGAGCAATAAATATTCGCAAATCTAAACGTTGTGACCGCACCTGTGGGCTTCAATATCAGGTATTTCTTGGGTATCGAACGTTGTGTGAACTGCGCTTGATGGATATGTCTCAGTGCAAAGTGTTTTGAGGCGGAGACAATGAAGCAATACCAACAATGACAGCTGTCAGGCTACTATGAATCGAATATATTTTATAATTTCAATTTATTACATTGAAACAAATACTTGAAGTGAATTATTCACCTGTCGTCTCGAAACTGGCAATTCGTTTTCTACCGTAGAGAGGTAACCAGTACGTTTGCTTCCATTGGGAAATAGCTATAGATTTATGTTTATACAATCCGGTACGTATGTTTGGTGTTCTTATAAAACATCCTTTCATTACTGCGCTTAGAAGACATTCACTTCATATGAACAAGAAATTAAAGCTGCAGCATGGACTGGTGGTTCAAGTCGAAATATAATATAAAAAAAGCTTTGTCAATAACTTGAGTGACTTTGGACGAGAAGTTGTGCTTGAAAATGCCCCACTTCGAGTAGAGATAAATTGCTAACTCGATAACTCATGACAAACAAAAGCCATAGCAACAACTTACATACATACCCATTGGATCGACCTACATAAGTAGATCAAAAGCCTCGATATTTGCAAACCTCTCATGACTCACGTATAAGTAAATATGTACACATTGTAGCGTGACCGACCGGCCAGCGAACTGAAGCTGTAGGCGTTTAACCAACTGTTTCGCGGTAGCTCCATTTGTGCTCGCTTTATTGCCCCGGCACTGGCTGCACGTGACTGTCGCAGCTTGCCGCGGAGTTTGAGTTTGTGCACAGCACTGAAGCACCGCGCCACAACATTCAAATTTAAAGTTTGAGTAGTTCGATTGTTTTTCAAGTTTTTATATGTCAGTTTTGGCGTCTAACATATATTTGTTGTTTTTTGTATTTGTGGTTTTTTTTTCTCTGACATCCTTGTGGCCGTTTGTGCCGAAAATCATATGCTGAAAATTTTGAGCTGGTAAACTACTCCTAAGCTATGCGCTGCAGTTTAATTTAATTGAACAAACATAGGGTAAACATCAGGTGTACTGAGCCTTACAAAAAAAAAAAAATAAAGTACATCCACTAAAACAGCGGGACGGAGTCTTGAGCCCAAGGAAAATTGATATGTGTGCATTTATTTCGGAGTTAATTGCTTGAGTTTTACTTTATGCTACTAAGTGTATATATCAGCACACGAACAATGGACGTTATTAAACGAATAACAAAGTAATATTAACCACGTTTAGTTAAACGGCAGATTTTTAGCATGAGCTGTGGCACATGAGAAACGACAGTAACGGCAGTTAGTAAGTAGTGCACGGACATTTCAGCGGTTATTTAATTGCTGCAGTTTTAAAATTACACAAGAAAAAATTTTATGATCAGATGATAGAGAATCACAAAACCTAATCAAGCATTATTGTATGTGTGCTTGGGTTAGTTACAGATATTCAGGCTCATTTGCTTTATAATCACAAGCTCTCTTCAAATTTGTTTTAAAAGGAAATTCATGTTTTCATTTAATTAAATGATTAAGGCTCACTGTGGTTTATAGCTAATCTACTTATATTGTAAGAGTCATTTATTGATTTAATCCCACACTACTTCGCATTTAACTGCTCCGTGCGATTTTTGTATTGCACGGTGAGGTATAATCTTCATATTAATTCGCTTAAAACCCTGAAAGAAATCACGAAACCTTGTCATTTGTTAGTCATACAAGTGAAATTAACTTCGTTCATCCTTACATTTGATTACACCATTTCTTCCGTGAGAACACAAATTCCGGTTTAAATACGATTCGTTTAATTTAAGCCATGGGTGGCAAATTACGTAATTTTTACAAATCAAAATATGACTTTCCAAGATATCGCCATGAATGAAACACGGCTTAGCTCAAATAAGTACATACGTGGAGTATGTAATACACAATTAGAATTCATATTGATTTAAGAAAACATTAGATGTTTGGTGAAGAGCTGAGATAACTGTAGCACAGTTTAATGTGAACTGTATTAAATTATAACACATGGAACGGTATTAGATGATCTTTCTCATTGAAGCTGTGCAAAAAAATGATACATTTATGGAGCTCAAGCGACTTCAAGTCTAAAGAAGTGTACATAACCCTCTGTTATCTTGCTCAAATGTCATTTAAATTTGCACTCATTCAACTAAACTCTGCAAAAAATTAGCTTAATGCCTCAAAGGTTGTCGGTGGTCCGGCATTGAATGTTTTGTTAGAGTAAACAGCAAATAGCCGTCTTATATCAACCAAGAGCTGGAAATCAAAAGTAATTTACATATGAAAAAGAAGGCGCGCACCACTCCACGTAATTGTCATGTAAATGAGAATTGTTGAAAACAAGTGAATGGCTTAGCGACTGAGCTAACCTGTTATTGAAATGAATTTAGCGAAAATATTTATTTTCTTCGAACCTTTGAAAAACACGAGCTAGTTCGGCAGATTAAGCGGACACTTCTGTCGCTCTTTTCCAACAGAAGTTCTAGAGTGCAGCTTGTTTAGGCGGGAGGGGCTCATAGCCAACGATATTGCTCACTAGCAATATCATTTGCATGAGTTGTTTGCATTCGCCAAATGCATAAATGCCTGTATCGTGCTGTAATTGTGGCTTTTCACATTTATTGTCTGTTTGCTCACGCCCGAAAGTGCCCGAACTCAGTTATTTTGACAAAATTCAACACATGTTAATAGTGCCTAATGGAGGTTGCATGGAAATTAAGTCATCAAAAGTATGAAAAATTCAATTTGAATTGGCGCTTTAGTTTTCTCATATTTGCCACTTTAAGCTTATTAAAGCGAGTTTACGAGCAAAATATTCAACTAATTGATATTGGGTATTCGTGTTGGGTGTGAAATATAGCTGTTGTGTACAAGTTTGTTAATTATAGAGTATAAGCTCTCGGCACAGTGAGCACTTATTTTTGGTTTTCCAACAATGTCTTAGATTTCTAAACAAAAAAATTGGTGGGTTTGCGAAACACGTAGAACAAAGCAGTTTAAGCTGTTTCAACCCCTACTGCTATTATGAGAGAGAAAAGATTTAGTGTTTATCACGTTTTCAGCCGTTTAATATCAGCTCCGCTGCAGAGAGGACAAACTAATAAATACTATTTTATATAAGATCTCATTGCATACAGAATGGGCCCATATATTCTTTGTTCTAAAAAAGACGTTCCGTCCAGTGAATATTTATTTTTATTTTATTAATATTATAAAAATATCAACTCATCTCGATCGTGGAAACTATAACCTCTTTCAAAAATGTTGATTTTGTACTCAGGTCATATGTGTCGACCTCCTAAATGAGACAGATTTCGTATATCGGAGAGAATTCGCCACATATCTACTCCGTATGCCTTTGCATGTGTGTAATTAATTTATAGTTGCCGAAATGCTTGTCTAAAATCTTGATGTCAATTAACAGCTATTATTTAGTGAGTTCATGTAAAAACAAGAAAAAACGTTAACTTCGGTTGCACCGAAGCTAAATACCCTTCACACGAGCATTTATGCTAGTAACTACATATGTGTTCACTTTGTATGGAAGCTATACGCTATAGTAATCCGATCTGAACAATTTTTTCGGATATTATATTGTTACCTTAAGCAGTAATCTATGCCAAATTTCGTGAAGATACCACGTCAAATGTGAAAGTTTTCGATACAAGAGCTTGATTCTGATCGTTCAGTTTGTATGGCAGCTATATGCTACAGTGAGCCGATCTGAACCATTTCTTCGGAGATTACATTGTTGTCTTAGAAAATAATCCATACCAAATTTTGTGAATATATTTTGTTAAATGTGAAAGTTTTCCATACAAGAGCTTGATTCTGATCGTTCAGTTTGTATGGCAGCTATATGTTATAGTGGTCCGATATCAGCTGTTCCGACAAATGAGCAGCTTCTTGAAGAGAAAATGACGTGTATAAAATTTCAAAACGATATCTTAAAAACTGAGGCACTAGTTCGTATATATACAGACAGACAGACGGACAGACAGACAGACGAACATAGCTAAATAGACTCAGCTCAACATACTGATCATTTATATATATACATACTTTATAGGGTGCCCGACGCTTCCTTCTGGGTGTTACAAACTTCGTGACAAACTATATATATATTGTTCAGGGTATAAAAATGAAAATCAAAATGATTAACTTAATAAAGACGTTAGTCACTCGTTAATCACGAAGAGGAAACAAATCGTTATTCATACGTCAACATGCCGCTTAGGCATTCCATCACGTCACGTTGCCTTCATTGGAGTCAGAGCACATTTGTTGTCTTTGCGGCACGCGAGTGCTTTTTGAGTTTTTGAAATTATCCGCCTATTTGCCGAACAAGTTTTTCCGAAAACCTTATGCAAAACTTTAATGACTGCACGTGTGATCACTTGACCAGTTATGCCTCACACATTTAATGATTACGAATTTACACATACGCCATCGGTTGCCATTGACGTTGATTTGGTAAATTCGCGATCAGAAGCGAACGGGTTTCGGCATTTATTAGATTTGCAAATCTGTCGCCCGCTTCGGAAAAATCTGTAAATATTTTAGCATATCAAATGCATGTAACGACGCTGCTGCACAGTCGTGTGCGGCTCTATTTGATTTCCGATTTACACCTATTATTTTAATGATAGCTATTTGTTTACAGTCTTGTCTAACGCATAAGGAAACCATTAAACTTACTTAGGTTGACATTAAGTGTCATGTGGCGCGCTTTATTGATGTTGTTGCTGACATAAAGTGCTTATTGCAATTGTTGCTTTCACTGAAGAGGCAGCAAACAACCTACATATATTTCGCAAGAGTTAGAGTTACTTTAAAGTCTATCATTTTACAATAACAATTTTGGATGATTTGCAAACATTTGGCAGATCAATTGGATAAGTCTTGAGTGGGCTTTATAAAAATTCATTAGGGTCAAATTATTACAAGGAGAAGAGCTTGCGGGCTTACTGAATATTCGTCAAGGAAAGAAACAAAGACACTTATATATATATTATTTCAACACTAGCGCTATATATCGAGATAATTTTAGAATCGAATTTTTTTCATGTGGTCACATTTGGTCCTATTTAAGCTAAGACAAGCCGTTGTTTTAATAATAAATGCGAAAAGATACTGTGCCCTTCTGTTTATCCAACAGCAATCAACTTCTTCGTTAAGTCATATTGAAGTAATTGTAAATGCATATGTACATGGTAAAAATATTTGTTTATAGTTTTCTGTTTAACAGAAACCAAATGACTTCAATAAGCTAATGTATATAAGCCATGTTCATGAAAGGAGCTTAATGAAGAACGTTTCTTTACTGATTGCAAGATCATCGTTTTCTTAAATATATTATATACACTATTTATCAAATTTGCATTTCTTACACTCACAGTTTTTGTTTACAAATAATCGTGTTTTTCACCACTGTCACACAGAAAGTATATCACGATTTGTTTTTCCGTTATTTTGGCTACAAACGTTGACGAGTCCTTTCAGCCAAAGCCATTCACCTTCATTAGTTCGTGCGCTAAGAGTGAGAGCAGCGTGAGCCAGCGTACGTCAGCTTGGCGCGATAACCATGAACCGACTGCTTTTGCCAATGCACTTCAGCGGCGGTTAAATTCAGTTACGCTCTCCAAAACCACATACCACGCGTAAAACAGCGAAATCAAAAGCAGACAACAAGCGCTCAAACATGCAAAATAAACGAGCGAAACAATTGCAAACAAAATGAAAAGCTAAAGCCACTGCCGACACCACACACACACACACACACAGATGCAGTAGCGGACAAGCGCCGCGCAGGCGCAGCCAATAGTTTGACATTCACACACTCCAATGAGCGGTAAATTTAATGCGAAACTAATGCGTGTCTAGGAACATTTAATTAGACTAAGCTTGAGGCTTGTAGAGTTGATAAGCTGGCGCTCGTTGTCTGCAAATTCTCGCATTTAGTCGAACATTTCCGTATTGCATTTGAAACGTTGCGTGCGCGAGCCATGCGTAAACACATTCTTCATTTTTATAATATTCAAATAATTAAACCTATGTGCTTGCAATATTTTTGGGGCACATAAATTTACGTCAAACATCTTCTTGCGCAATTATTGTTGAATGCGTTGACGCTTGATTTTTGATACATTTACCACTCTGGCCAGTGTTTGCGCCAAACTAACTGGTTTCTTTGTGGACTTCGGTGGCGTAAATCTCCGCCCGCTGCAAATATGCATCGAACGCCAGTGACAGAAAGAAAACGGCTTTTTAAATATTTTATCGCAATTGCAAGGCACGCTCAAACACACACACACGCATACCTGAATATGAATATATGCAAGTTTAAGTACTCATTGCAAGCATCAAACTATCGCTGTCCCAACCATATGCACTCATAAATATGTCCACATGTGTGTATGCGCGGCTTGCAGCAAAGTTGCAGTGAGCGTGGCTTTATTTAATTACGGCAAGCATTCAAGCATAGAATAGCAGCCGAAGATATGTGTTTGTAGGCGAATTAGTTGGATTACTTTTTAAATATTTTCGCAGTGCTTTAATGTATATTATTATTTATATGCAGGAATGTGTGCGTAACCGGACTATAAACCTGTGTTCGGCAATTAAGTACTTAATTTTTATGATGCAGTAAATTCCGAATTACATAGATTATTCTTTCATATTTGCACTTGTGTTTGTGGGTATGTGTGCACTTTTATTTTGAGTAAACTTTTGGAATGGCGCGTCAAAGTGGGCACGGCTCTGGTCACTTCTCACCAGGCACCTGATTTATCGCAAACATTTTTGATGTATGTATGCCATAGCAGRTCTTGTCAAAACTGAAAATTTTCCACAAATAATCTATAACTAAGGAAAAAATATATAAACAAGTAAGGAAGGGTTCTGTTCGGATTCAACCGAAAATTTTATACTCTTGCAACTTGCAGGAATCATACACTGACTGGCATATGCGGCTTGTTGTAGTTTGTTAGAAAAACGAAAATCATTATATGTAGTACTAGAGGACCCGTCCACGTTTTACTATGGCTGATACATTGTTGTGATACGATCATTTTCAAATGATTCTTACACAAATTCTTATGATTTAAAATATAATTTTTATATTAATGAATTGTATTGAACTTTAGCATATATTGATTAAAAAAACAGTAGTATCCTATGTCCTTACCCTGGTTCTAAGCTACCTCCCCACCAATTGTCAGCCAAATTGGCTCAGCCGTTATTTTATAAATGGTGTAACTAACACGGTTTTCTTTTATATATATATACATATGGGAGTTGAGGTAGTATCGACCCGATTATATCTATGCCACACACACAAAAATAATCAATAATCATTTGAGGCAAGGTCAGCCGGATGTTCGAAAATCCTGATATTATCAAGGTCAAGTTTTTGTCCAATTTTATGTATTTTAGGCAAAAAGATACACCGTTATCAGTAAAATTTTCAGTGAGATAACTAAAATATTGGCCGAAATATGCAGTATAAAGTCACCCGGGGCTCAGGAAAGTATTGACCCGTTTCAACCCGTTTTGCATACATAAAGCTACTATTGTAAGGAAAGGATTCTGTCTGAATTTCTAAAAAATAGAACACACATTGAACGATATTTTCGAAAAAAGTCATGTATCAAAAATGGGGTCCACATATTCGGTACCTGGCATTATTCACTAAAGGCATTATTCGTGCAAAGTTTCATTAACTGCTTCTTGATGTGTGTACTAGAAAATTAAAAAAAAAATGGGCTATATGGGAAGAAGCCGTAGTTTAAGTCCGATTTCGGCATTTTCGCACTGTCACCGACCGAGCAGGTTCTGAGGTATATGATTCATCAAAAAGTGTGCGTTGCCGCGGGCTTCGTCTTCCCGACTCCTTTAAAGCCTTCTCATACCATATCGGAGGTAAATTTAACGTCTCTGGTGTATTTAGTTATTGATTTATCACGCTTTTATTAGTTTTCACCGGTAGTGTTATATGAGGAGTGAGCGAGGTTATCATCTGATTTCATCCAATTTCACACTGTCTTATAGTAATTTAGTTGGGCAAATTTGGTTGTTGTAGCTTTAGTGGTTTAGGAGATACGTACATTCAATTTATTAGATAACAGGCCTATTCCTACTTTTTCATATCTTTTCTTCACAAGTGTCCATTGCTACTGCGTTCCTCTGTACCGAATTACAGCTTTATATCTTAATTTAGTGCTTAGTTATGGCGCTTCGTAGGTTTTCAGTTAATGGTGATTTGTGGGCGTGGTAGTGGCCCAATTATGTCCTTCTTCGAACTCATTACTTTTTGTACTAAGGAAACCGGACACCAAGTTTCATCAGGATATCTCGACCGGACGGACGGTACAGGATGTTACCTATAGGCAACAACCCTTCTACAAAATTATTTTACACAAACGTAACACTTTTGTAATGACTTATTTTTACAATAAAACAATTCACTGTAAGCTTACACAATACACCAGACAACGTAATGCAAAAAACCGCGCGTCAATAAATTGAAACAACGGGACTTAGAAGCATATATGTACAATGTTGATTATAAGCAACATCGGGCATGAAAGGATTAAAGATTAAAAGTCACTTAAATATACACTGATCTCTTAATGGAAATCGTATGATTGACCACGTATGTTCCATGTACTATAGCCATCTACACAGAGTTAGCGCCGGTGACGCATTTTAGGGATGTTGCCTAAATAAGCTTAATTATTTGTTTATATTGAATGAAACGTTTATTAATTAGGACAATAAAATTAAATAAATATTTCCTAAGTACTCACCTCCTCTCAGATCCTCCATTAACCATTGACTATCCCAGCCACAGTTACATAAGTATGTACAAGTATGTATATATGTATTTCGCAATTGTTGCGGCAGTAAATAAAAAAAAAATTAATGAGACTTACATACATACATATATACATATTTATATTTATTTTCGCTAACCAGAGATACGAGTAACTACTTTCAAATTAAATGTAGATTAATATTATAGCTTCGATATCCGTATACAGTGAAATGCGTCATAACCGGACTGTGCCTAAAAAATAACATTGTATTTATTTTGAAAATTCTTTATTTATTCTTCCAAGTCAATTTCATCCCCTTCAAAGTGATCCCCACTAGATGTAGTACATTATGCCAACGGATTTTCCAATCTTCGAAACACTGGTTGTAATCACTTTCCGGGACGGCCTTCATTTCAGTCTTCGCTGCGGCTTGAATCTCTTCTATCGTATAAAAACGGTGTCCCCGGAGCGGTCTTTTGAGCTTGGTGAACAGCCAGAAGGCGCACGGCGCCAGATAAGGTGAATACAGAGGTTGCGGAACGATATGGGCTGAGTTTTTGGCGAAATGATCATTYAATGCAAATTCTTTGCTCAACAAATTTCGACATCGCAAAAAACGAAAAACTCACTTTTAGCAGCTCACTAAACAACGCGTATCTCAAACACTAATGAATATTTTGTCATAAATATGACTGACAGTACTACCAACCTAAAAAAAAAAATAATTCTCCAAATCCTTCGATGCGCGCAGTTTAAATTCAAATGTCACCTTATTTTTGGGCACAGTTCCGTGGGTAAATAAAAAACCAAAAACGAATGTTTTTCTTTATCGGAAAATAATACATCATTTTTTTTTTCATATAATTCAAAGGAAAAAAATTAATTTGTTTAAAATAATCAAATTTCAACCGTTGATTTTCTTATATGATTAGGTTTACGAAGCTAGCATTTTAAACCTTTTTTGAAGAGCTTTCAATTTCTTACATCCATAGAAGAAAATATGTTTTCAAATAGTTGGAAGCGAGATATATTTTTCTATCTGATAATAAGAAAAAAATAGTAAACCGTTGGGTGGAGGAGAGAGAGCTTTATTTAGAGATATCTATGAAATAATTTTTCAAAAAAATAATCACTCGTTTTTTTTACCCACCCTACTATAGGTGTATGTATGTATACTTAATAAAATAAATCTAGCAGCTTGTAACGGATATCCACTTTTATTCAGCGTCATACGAAATAGTCTACTGAAAACAAGAACACAATTGCCTTCACCAAAAGATTTGCAAGCGCGTACACAATAAACATACATATATACAAGTCATTGAGCATGGTTTGCTTATTCGCACAGTTCTTGCATTGCTGCAAGTGAATGAGTATGAAACACACCCAGTAGCAAAACGACTATAACACACTTCATATTCTACGGCAGCCTCCCAAAACGACTGTTGAGTTAGATAGTTGAAACTCAAAACTTTTAAATTTGCATTAGGGGATGTACAAATGTAATCTATATTAAAGAAGCTTTGTAATCGACATTTCCCGAATATTAGGGATTAGCTTTTATAACAAAACTTCTATACATGAAATAGTGTTAAACTATCACTTTAAAACATCGTTATATTGTTGGGATATGAATGGGTATGAGCAATTTACTTACCATAAGTACTACTCGGTACTAAAATTGTTCGGATTTTTGCGCTTTATGAATGGCAACTCTTGGTCTTTGAAATTTAAAATAACCTTTCTTTAATTATTATTTGTTCTTATATAAAGTCAGATTCTTTTCATTACTTTTCAGCACTTTATGATTTTGAACCCAGTGGATGCTCAAACTCACATTTTGAAAGGCATTTTGCGAAAAAAAGACGAAATGTGAATTAACAAATGCTTCGGTACGAACTATCATTTTACGTTTCCAGGAAGTCCTCAGTATCTTACGAATTTCCAAACATACTTTTGATCACCCTGTATTTCTGATGAAATAGTTTTGTTCCAGGTAGCAGCTCGTGCTATTTGTTAACGACGAGCTTTCCTTCATATAGCTTATTTGAAAAGCTTTGCAAATAAAGCTTTCAATGAGTAAGCGCAAACAAGAAGTATACTCAACCCAGTAGCAGATAAAGTTGCCACAAGCTTTTTGACATATTAACGCTTTCTGTGAGCTATGAATCCAGATAATGGTATGGAATTAAATTTTGTCACACTCTCTGAGCTGATAACCGCTAAAATTATTTAGATTACGAGTAGTACTCAGTATTACATACAGTCATTTAACCTTCAACAAAAATAAAATAATCACTGAGTCAAACAACGATAATAATCAGTAAAATATCAATAGCAGTAATATGTATATAGGTGTTATGATATTATGACGGACTTCTCTTTGGCGCAGAAATATGCGATTATTCTTTCTCAGAAATGTTGCAATAGCAAACACTTTATTAACTCTTTTGTCAATGTCCTTAATCCGAATACAAGCTGTCAACGGTTTATGAAACACAACTCACACAACTCACACAATCATATTTAGAAGAAGGCTTGTATTAATCCGCTCTAAAGATGGCAAAAAAAGACAGCGCAACTCATTGGAACTTCGAGTCAATGTTAYGTATGTATGTATGTGAGCTACTAAAAGATCTTCAAAGTCACTTTTATTAATATATATTTTTGGTACTTTTGTTCAACACGCTTATGTGAGTAAAAATGAAGTACGTAAAAACGAAAATTGTACATACACACATGTACGTCAGTATATAAATATATGTGGCACTTAAAACTAGAAGGTACATAAAATACTTTTGCAGCATTCGATGCCGATTATTATCAATAAACATGTACATATGTATGCTTACAGCTGTATTCTAAACAAATGTATGTAAATGTGTGGATGCATGTAAATGTTATTATGAAACATAAAATGTTAATTCAAGTGTGTGTGTGTGTGTGGATTAGCAGAAAGTAGAAATGCTGGTGCTGCACAAAAATATGTTTGTGTGTCAACTCTTCAGTCTATAATGATTTGATTAATGCGCCTCAAATGCCTTACAAGCAGGCTTTTACAATATACAATAACTTACATTGACCCAGCCGGACCCTGAGGCTGAGAGGCCTGTGGCTGGGCGCCTCCATTCGCACGTTCATTTCTGGCCTGCCGTGTTGTGGCGTCGCGCGCGCACATCCCACTCTCCAGACCCGTCGAAGCCGTCATCGATTGCAATTCGGTAGAGCGCTTGCTGCTATTCTTCTTGCTTTGTGGGTGGAGCAAATGCAGCCAGGCACTGCGCGGCACCTCATCCAGGAGAACGAAATATATGAACAGCACGAAGCCTTGCAGGGTGGCAGTGAGGCAGAAGAGGTAGGAGAAGAAAACGCCGGCTTGCATGTAGGCGAATAAACCAAAGATCCACGAAATGCCGAGCAGGAAAAACAACAACACCGACAGGCGTATCTGCTTGATGATCATTTTCTTCTCGCTGCGGTGTATTGCCTGATTAAGTGTGTGCGAGATGCTATAGAACACATAAATGAAAATGGTAAGATTGACGACAACAACAGCGGTCACCGGCAAGATTACGCCCAGCGTCAATCCTAATCCGCTGGGATAGCATATGGCAGTGCTCGTTTGTATCTCGTACTCGGTGGGTATGTACGAGCTGGGGGCTATGCAGGCCACGAGCAAAGTGGGTATGAGCGGGAAGCCCCACGCTACGATCGCTGACTTTAGTATGTATCGTTTTGGGCGCTCAATGCCGATAACGGTCACATAGCGCTGAAATTGCAGAACCGCTATAATTAGCATCCACATGAAGAGCACCAAAATGGAATACTGCAGGAAAGCACCCAACAACACGCAATTTATGTACAGCCGATCCTCCACCAACTCGGCGGACATATCCTCTGTGTTGACGAAAACAAAGAGCACCATTTGCAGAGTAAGGGCGACACAAAGATTTAGTAAAATTTTTGTGGACGCAAGCGCCCGCCAACTCTTAAACATTGCTGCCGTGACCCAAATGCACAGAAGGCCCATCAGGGAAAGTGAACATCCGATAAGCGATATTATGTCCAAAGCCCGCAGATGTATGGGCGTAATGAGCACGTCATCGGTAATATCCGCCTGCTTGTAGGTGCCGCCCAAGAGAAACGAGAACTGGGTCAAATGCAGTGTGCGGCACTCTATAACGGAATGCTTGAGCAAATCCTTAGCGTCCGTCTGAACGCCGTTATTCACCCAAGTGCTGTAGTTCCAATAGCCGCAGCCTGTACCCGGCTGCGCTATGACCGAAGGATCCAAATAATCGAAACGATTTCGCAGCAGAAAAGTTAAAGGTTCGGGGAAGTTTTCTGAAATATTGAAGTTGAATATAAGAAAATATATGCAACTGCTGAGTTGTCTTACTCACCGTTGTACCCCGGTATGGAAATGGAGAGGATTTTGCTAAATGGTTTGCGCGTATGCACCAATGCCGGATCCACAAACAGCGCGTCATGACCATACACTTTCATGACAATCACAGGCAGCTTGCGTTTCGCCTGCAAATTTGCGCGCACATGCTGCCAGAGTCTCGTAGACAGAAATCCGGCTACCTGCAGCTCAGGCTCCTGCGCCAGCGCATCCACAGATTCGTTCATGTTAATAAACCGGTAGCGGAAGTTTGCTACTACCGTATTGATCAAAGCATGTGGCTCACCCGTACTTTGCTGGGCCGTCGGTGCGTACAAAGCAATGCCGGATATGTTGGCGCATTCAGGATTCAGAAAGAATACGCTTATGTTTGTGGAAATGTGAGCACGTACACCCAAGTGCCCCATCTTCACTTCTTCCACCGCCTTGGAGTAGCTAATTGCAATATCCGCCTCTGATTCCTCACTCGGACGCGACACAATAGTTGTTGTTGAGGTGCTCGAACAATCTCCTGTGGGCACTTGACGAGCGGATAGTGCATCCATATACTCCTCAAACGTCTGCAGAATGGAGTTGGTGGCATTCAAATCAGCCGATATGCGTAAAACCTGCTCATCACTCGACATTAGGCGATCGCAAATCCGCACCATATCCGCCGAAACCTCGGGATCTTGTGCCGTTATGGCGACCTCATGCAGTATCTGTGACGTCAAATGCACGTCGGCGGGTAATAGTTTGAAGTTTTTTTCACGCAACATTGTATACAGTTCGCCAGTCACTTGACTGCGTTGTGCCACGCCAGCTTGCAGTACCTGCCCTTCGAGCAGCTTCTCATGCAATGAATTCAGCTTGTCGCTGAGTATGCATTCGCGAGTTTGACGCATGCAAACGATGTGCCTCCAACCGCTGATATCCTCCCACTCAGCGGCACGAGTTAAGGGATTATAGCGGCACAAGCGCGTCAGCGGCAAGCCATTTGGCTTCAGGCATACTTCCCTTAGACCCGCGCGCTCTCCAATGCGTGCGCGCTTCCAAATATTTGTGTTGGGTTGTGTGTAGTTTTCAACGATCACGTAATCATGCTCGAAAACTTCCGGCAAGCAATAGAGTGGGTGAGGTGAATCACTGGTACTGCGCTCGAATTCTGTAATGTTGCTCTGCGATCTGGAAGTGGGATCGAAGTTGACTTCTGCGCTGCCACTGACACTATCACTGCCACTGCCATAGCTATCAGAATATTCCTCCCTCTGTTGGTAATTATCATCCGTGATCCAGTCTTCGTTACTGGTTAGATTTTTTACCATGGCGGCAGGAGAAGTTGTTGTATTAAGATGAGGGAAAGTATTGGAATTAATAGTGGTGGTGCTAGGTGTGGTGAGTCGTTGCCAACTTCCTAATTGTCCCTCGGGCCTAAGTATAGACGGCAATTTGGGAAGTCTATAGCCTGCACCTCCCTCTTCATCGTTCTCTGGATCGGGATGTAAAGGTCTCAAATGAGCACTGGCAAGTTTGTATTGGTATTGGCATACAATGGCCACAAGCAATATTACTATTTTTAAATTCATTTTACAAAAATCAGCACAAAATATATGCCTCGCATGCACAATAACTGAATCACTCCGTTTTTGTTCGTTTGTCAAGAACTTAGTTTCCGTTGTGCATTTCCCGCGCACAAATCCGCAAAGCGCTTGCAATCTGACGTGCTCCGCTACACTAGCCAAACTGAAAATCCGCACTGACTGTAGAATTTGCACTCGTCGCTCAGCGCAAACACACTCACCCACACATGCGCCATTGCGCGCACCACTTGCCACTTGCTCACTATTCGTTCTCCGGCTTCATCCGACTGCGCTGATCATACCACAATGTTTGCCGAACACACACGCATTCGGAATCGATGGGTATTTCAGTGGAATTTTCAATGTCTCACCTTCCGCTTATCTTGCCAGTAGAACACTCATGCCTCCGCTCTCTGTTCAACTCCCTGCATTGGAATCGCTTGGAGAAGCTCTGCATTCTGATGTTTGTCTTCGCTCATGAGCAGTTATCTTTTTTGTTGTTGCCTTTTGTGTGTTTTGTATGTGATTTTCGTCAAGACTGTCGACCGCCTGCCTGCCAGTATTTGGCTCGGTCGTGTTCATAGAATTTGTTTATTTTTCGCGCCTTGTCATACTGCGCAAATCGCCTTATTATTTTATTTTATTTATTCATTACCGTTGTTTTTATTTTTGTTTAATATTTACTAACTGAAATAGAAACGAACTTTTGCTTGCCTGGAATTTATTGGAAAATTCAACTGCAAAAGCTCACGTAGTGAAGTCGTCACGTCGGTCGCACACATAACGGCACCCATGTGAGGTAACTTATCCGATCCATATGCGAAAAATACATACATACCCTATTGTCCAGACATTTGGACTTTTCTACATGTGTGTGGCAATGTAATTTTGCATTGCACGCCACCAATGTTCACATTGTTTACGATTTTATAACTTGACAGCAGGTCTTTCTCATAAATACAGATTAATGTAAAAACTCACACGAACTCTGTCGCTATTTTACCTCCCATCGTGTAGTTAATCTGCAGTAGTGCGATTAGAGGCCTACCACTTAGTTGAAGCACTTAACTTTTCTAAGAATGGCTATTAAGCTCAGAATGCTAGGAAAGAAGGATTAGGAACCAAAATATTTCCTTTTGTACGAACGAGTTGGTCTCTTATCAAATTAAGTGATTCCCTTCTGTATTTTTACCAAATTTGAAGATAACATTAACAGGCCAGGCCAGACTTATAACCAAAATTTATTATATTTTATCATAATAGGAAGGTTTTCGAAAACAACCAGACTTCGCTTAAGCTCCGTTGCGAGGAAATGAAGCATATTTCGAGAAACACCTTTGATGTCAGCACTGAACATTCCCCCTTTTAACTGCGGAGGGGTCAAGATCTCTACCCTCTGCTCGGGGGGGTCTGGTACGGTGTCACAATCGCAACAAGTGCAGCCCCAAAAACCTATCAAGTTGCATATTGCAATTGCGGTTCCATCCGGTTGACTAGCTTACGTAACACAGGGAATAATGACTTCCTTATATGCGGTTGATGTGATTGATAGCCGGCTAACAAGGGAAAGAAGACACATTCACTTAGATCGGCAAAGTCGTTTTATTGTCGAACTCAGGCACATTCACTTATTTACTTTCATAATTGCGAATCGGCGTTTGGAAGATACGTGCAAGCACGAACATTGCCGATAACGCGCGAACAATAGCAAAAGCAAAACAAGAAAAATTATAGATTAATAGAAGAAATATTAGACCCAAGCAGCGGCCCCTTAGCACACAGGTACCCACAGCACTTGTCTAGCCGAACGCCCAACAGTAGCTGGAGCGTGTCAGATGAAGACGATTTCGTGCTGACATCTGACTAAATAATTATTAAATGTATATAAAAGAACATATGTTTGCAACTGCTTATAAATAAATATTTACAAACGTACACAGCGATGTATAAATGCTTCCTTAAATCTAAGACTTTGCGCGCTGTCTTCTGTCAGACGTCGACCGTCAAAACATTCTGAACTAACATTTGAAACAACAGCAACACTCGGCGCTTGCGTGTGTTCTGTATTATTAGCCACAGCACGACGTGAGTCTTCATGCGAAAACTTTAATTACCAGTAGGTTTGAAATTTCAGCGCGCCACTTGAGCCGGCAATTGACTCACGGATGCGGTGCAAGAGCAAGTGTCGCACAACAACAAAAGCAAGACCGCGGCAAACGTAGAAGAGGAGGTGAGCAGAAGCGGCTGTGCCATCAACAGCAGATAAAACTAAAAGGTAAACAATCTTTTGCTCCGGCGACCAAAAACGAATAAAAATGCGTGCAGAGCAAAGAAAAAATCCGAGCGCAAACAGAAATAAAAAAGTAAAAGTAATTCAATTTCAAACCCGTTTGGCTTTTTTGTTTAAACAATAAAAAATATGCAAATTATGCTAAATGTATTATTAAGACCACTTTTATAGAGCAATGCTTTGATGTCGGAATATTTGCCCAGCGCAGTTGGCCAAGTCGATTTAAGCAAATAAAAGGTAATAATATCGTGTTCAAGAAGTGCTGTTTTCGCAATTGAAATTGTGCGAGCGTCATCGCGAGCGTCGCTGGCGTCGAGTGGCGGCATTCAGTATGTATGTGGATATATTTAGAAACCGCGATGATGTGCGATAGCTTACATGTGTGGAAAAAGCGCAGTGGCGTTCGCACATAAATACTAGCGAATATGCTCAGCCGAAATGAAAAACTCTGACTCACTAATTTATCGCAACGGCAATCTGACCACATTATGGAGGAATTATAATCATTATTTGCCACTGCCCCTTCATAACCGCACACTCATACATTTCTATCTTATCTGGATATTTTGAAACCGATATGTGTTAGCTAGTATGTACGCCCGTACCTATTTACACATTCATTTACAATATGAGCGCTCATTTCCGATTTCATGTATATTTTTTTTTTATCGAAAACTCACAGTTTACCGGTTTAAAGCCATTTCCAAATAGCTGTTGCTAAATACAGTGAAGGTTTAGCTGAACATACTCTGCTACTGCACCGCTACCTGAGAGCAGGTAATAACTAGAAACATATCACAAACATCAACTTATATTTTTATATATTCATACTAATAAATATATAAACAAATATGTATGTACGATTTTATCGACCACTTTTCGCCATTTTTCCGCTAGAGACATTATTCCATCAGTGTAAATCGAAATTTCCAGAACGGAAGCGAGCGAACCATTGTTGTGCTACCCGAACTGATACAGCATCGTCTCTATAAACTTCACAAATTTCATTGGTGGCTTGCGTGGCATTCTTCCTTTTTTTATAAAAAAAAATTTCAAAATATAGCGAATTACTTCGTTACTTTCACTCATGTTTGAACAGCTGTAAATTTGTTTAACTTCCCCGAGTTTTTGGTTAAATGAAGCTTAAATACTAACCTTTCCAATACTATATGGTATGACATTGGAGATTGCTAGCACTGGAGATATACGACTGCAAAAACATCAATTGACAAAATACGAAAAGACTTTTCGACTGCCCAATGTTTATAATAAAAGGTGTACATCGGAGAGGGTGATACAAACCCATGTTTCTTTGCGAGTAGCTGAAATTTACTTTTGGCATGCTTTGGAAGAAGGGGTATCTGATGACAAAGTCCGAACCTACAATTATATGTTTTTACTTAACACTCTCCTTTTCAACTTTTATTTAAACAACTACATAATGTCCAACAGAAATATGAAATAAAGGTACCGTAACTCCACAAAGTCATTGAAAAGCGAACTTTTAATTCCTCATACTCATCTCTTAACCAACTATTTACCGTATTTTTATAACGAATATCAGAGTAATATAGACATTTAAGGAGAAGTAAAAAATTTCACTTCTTATTCTTCTCTGTTGTTTCGATGGCTCGTTGATTACAGCGGAAAATATATCGTTAATATGAAACGATTCCTGAACACGATTCTCTAAACAATTTTACAAAACAATACAATCGCATTTATTAGGAAATTGTTTTCAAATTGTTTTCAAAACAATTTGCACTTAGTAACATTTCTCACAGAGAAATATTTGAAGTAATTTGGAATAATAAAATAAAGAAAAATCTATGTTTATAAATAGTAATAAGACAACACAGCAGACACAACGCGAAACGCGAAATTGTTTAGTGTTTGAAGAATGCTTTCGGTGGAATGTAAGCGTTCGTTGGCTCAGGCACTGACGCCGCCGCAGCTTCCACAGCGGGAGCGAGATACTGATTATTTACATTGGACGCGGCCGGTGCAAGGTACTGATTATTCACGTTGGAAGCGGCTGGAGCGAGATATTGTGTATTCACATTTGAGGCAGCACCGCGCCCGCCTAATTCAATCACATGACCGCCGCCGTATTGCTGTACAATCTGCTGTTGCAGTTGTTCCGCCTCTGCGGGTGTGCTGTACTTGAGGTAATGCACTTCCGGCTTGTGCGATTTGTATGTGGTGGTAAGCTGCTGGGACGCAGCTGGCCTAATCGCCTGACGACGAGGCTCCTTGCTGAGTACGTAAATCTGTGTCCGTGACTCCTCGGTAACATGGGGCACTGAGGTGTGCAGGGGCTGGTAGCGAGATTTACCGCTCTCAGGCGCCTTAATCAAAACCACATTCACGTGTTTCTTTACAATGGGCGCGGGCTGAGCTGCAGGCACAACCGACCGATGAATGACAGACTCGGCGGGTGCGGTGAAGATGTAGAATTCCTTACGGTATACGGTGGCAGGTGCAGCTTCGTGAATATGTTGCTTCGTGGCGGCAGCTACTGGAATGGAGACATGTTCTGTAGCAGCTGCGGGTTCGGGTGGCGCGAGAAGCACCTGTGGCTCGGGAACACTAGCGCTGCCGTAATTATAACCCAAATCCTGGGCCGAAGCGATGGCCAACAGGCTTAGACACTGCAATAGTACCAAGATAGAACCAATTAAAATCCAGCCAATTAAGCTAACTTAATATAAATTCCTTACCACACAATAGTGAAACATAATTTTTAATCTGCTTCTTTACAGCTCAGCAACGGTAAATGAAATAAGCTCCGGTTCTCTATTCCCGCTATTTTATATCAAAGTGAGGAAGAGTCGGTCTGTTGCCAATAATTCTTGTATTTCAAGTTCAGGGCTTAATATGCAGCTCTTAAGCGATTATCAAACACAAAAATGTATATCTTTCAAAAAGGCCGACAAAAGATATGAAAGTCAAAGCGGCTCGAACGTGCTATAAAAGCGATTAGAATTTCGCTCAGTCACATTTCTTAGTTCTCCAATGTCTGGAAAAAACATCAGCATACATTAAAGCATTTATTTATGAATTTTATGCAAATAGCCGGAAAAAGTCGTGGGGCGAGGCCAGCGTGGGTACATGTGTGTCCATATCGAATATTCAATTTACACACGTCCCACAAACAGAAGGGCAAGAGAGAGCGAGATGCAGACTGGTCGAAAACTTGTATTGAAGAAATTCCCAACATTCATTATTCCCAAAATTATTTAATTCTAATTGGTAACGAATTCGGAATTCGGCTTTAACAGTTTTATTAAATTGGTTAAGCCAAATAGGAAACCAAAATCTTTGAGACATTGACTAAGCAAAATGCTAATTTAATAAGTTTCTATATTTCACTCCTTCTACATCTATACCCTTCACACTGCTCGGTGTTATTGTGTTTTAGAGTTTTATGATTTATGTTTTAGTTAATGGCCGATTTTCGTAGACATTTCATGATATTTTTTTGTGCCGAAAAAAGGGAACTATTGACATTTTGTTGTCACTTTTTATTCTATTTTAATAAGAGAGACATTCAAAGTAAACCTTCTGCAAGTTATTGATTTTTTAGCATTCATTCTTTTTCTGAACTGGACATTTGTTCTCTCTGGTATATTTTCATTAATTTAATTCACATCTCTGGACACCTAATGCCGTTAATTAAGTCAATTGTAAAATATTTAACTAGTGATTTCGTATACAATGTGTTTCCCCCGTTTCCCGTTTCTTCAACTTGTAGCATACCAGAAGACTAGTTTGCAGCTCAATAGGCTAGCGCTGGACTGTGTTTATTGCTTCTTCACCGCTTACAAAACGCTAGCATCATTAATTCACCTGTTATCGTTGTGTATGTAATATCGAGCCGTTAGGCGTTAGCACGTGCTTTATATAATAGCATTTAAAACATGCATAACAATTCGGGCACATCAAAGATAACTCTTCTGGTTGAGTTTACCATTGAACTTCTATTTATGTAGCATGCAAATATTTATAGAAATGTGGACCCGCCGCTTATGTAAATTAATTCGAACTTAACTTTGAAATTTGGTCCATACATGGAGAAAGCTTTGTTGAGCGCCAATTCATCCACTCACCTTCGAAATTCGAAATTAATTATTCCACCTACGGCTGTGGGCAAAAAATAGTAGGGTTTTTTAATTTAAATTTCGCTCGAAACCCAGCATACACATTTTTTATTCATTAGTAAAGTGAATGAAAATATTTAACAAAGAATTTCCATTAAATTTTGTATGTGGAATCAAATTTCTGGTGCGGAAACGTTCAATGTTGGCAAAGGTCTTCGTTGGTAATTGTCTGTTGCGTGCAAGGAAGCGATTGATTGGTTGATTGGAAGCGATTATGCAAAGAGGATCGCCAACGCCTTAACAACAAATTACGTCCTGAACGGCCATCAACATCAATTGACAATCAATACGTCAATAAAATAAAGAAATTGGTTCTTTAGAATGGACGATTAACAGTGAAAGATCTTAATGGCATCGTTGGTAAATCGGGAGGATCAGAGTCTTAGATCTATACTTAGGAAACATACGAACAATCGGCCTAATATCGTGGCAAAGGTGCCTCGAAGCCGAAAAAAACCACGTCAGAGCAGGTCAAAAATTAAGATTATGTTAACATTTTCTTTCGATTATCGAAGTGAGGTGCACTCAGAATTCTTTTCGACCGACCAAACTGTCAACAAGGAATACTATTTGAGTGTTGTGTGTCTATTTCGCGAAGCTATTCGTAAAAAGAGAAGAGAATTGTGGGCGAACACCTCTTGGTTTTTGTAACACGATAATGCACCGGCGATTCTTCATGAGTTTTGAAATGAGTACTGAAGACTATTCCGGAATTTGCCTTTAACAACTGTTTGGAGGATTAGAAAAAACGTTGACACAAGTGTATTGCGAGCAAGAGGAAATACTTGGAGGGGGCAACATAGACTTTGAAAAATAAATTATGAATTTTAAAACAATGAACGAAGTCTTACTATTTCTTGCCCATAGCTTATTAATGGATACAGATAAGTATTTGCGATTATTAGCTGCTTTAGTTCAGAGGAATATTTAAAATTCTTTTTTTCTGAAATTTTTTAATTTGTTCCTTTCACTTTTACCTTCGGTCAAACCAATATTTCATAATCGTTCGCGAATTAATTAATGAGGCGACACACAAACACAACGTGCTTATATATATAACGGTGTTTAGGTTAGTTCTCCTGAAATAAATAATAAAATGTAATATCTAATATTATTGTCAGCTATCAATGGGAATAAATTCAGTAAAATTTAACCTCAATTAGAAAATAATTGCTCACCAAATACTTAATAAAATCCAATATCTTTCACCAATGACCGCAATGAAAATTTCACTCAACGTCCAAGATAAATAAATGAATTTATTTTCGTTTCTGGTATGTCGTGTGTCTATACATCTGTGGTAAATTTGAGTATAGATTTTCATTTAAGTAAACATCAAAACTCATTTTCATTTACTTACATACATACATACATATATAGAAATACCTACGAAACTCGTATACTATCACTAAGTGATAAATGATATTTTATTAAAACGAATGCACACATGTGTACCTAAAATATACATATATAAACAATATAAATTCTATATGTTTCTATATACACACTTGGACAGACAGATATATATAAAATCAAAGCAAAACAGTTGCAATTAAAGCTGATGCATTTATACGAGTATTATTTGCAATATCTATTACAAAAGTTCATATCAACTTCAATACAAACACGCTCACAAAGAGCCGTGTGCAATTCATGTAGTGTGGCTCACAAATGTTTAATATGTACATATTTACAAATATAACATATAACAACTCAGTCAAAACTGTTCTGCATGGCCGCTGCTCTTCGACTCAGTGTAGGCTTAAGAACACTTCCTTCGCATGATGTCGGGTAGTAATCGGCTCCGATGTTCGCATTTCGAAAATATCATGTGACCGCGCTAACGTTTTTGAGTTGATTTGGGTTGGACTAAAGGAAAACTTGTTGGATAAATTCCGGGCGAGCACAATTAGCTTAAAGGATAGCTACCAATGAATCCAAAAGTGACTGTGAGGTAAAAGTGTAGTAGTATTCATATTTGTAGCAACCATCATTTATCCAGGTTTAGGAATATCAAGTTTCCCTTAGTATGTCGTAAGATACTCAAGGTAGAGGTTATGTATCTTTAGTGCCGCGAAATCCAACACCTTAGATCTTGGTAACTACGTATAACAATATATCATTGAAATTCTATTTTTTCCTCTGTTTGAGTTTCCTTATATATACAGATGTGTTAGGACCAATACCTTCGAATATTCAAATTAGAAATAAAAAGTCATACAAGCCGATATGAGTTTTCACACTGGTTTTACAGGTATAATAAGTACATTTGTAAACGTGTTCTTGCATGAGAATTTCTCCCACCTAGAGTCGTCTTATTTACAATATATTCAACTAATCGCATTTTTAATGGGGACGATGATCTCTTAACTTTAAACTTAACTTATATTATACATTTGCTCCAGTGAAGTAGCGCTATGCTACCACCCTTGTTCACACACAATTGCGTGCTCAATTATTGTACCGTTATGTTCACTTATTTATTTCCAGTGGCTATAATTTGCTTAGATATTAGCTTTTGATGTCGTACACACTTGAAAATAGCGCTTGCGGTCAAGGTTGAGGACTTTTGTGATATAAAAACACATAGCATATGTTAGTTTAATCAACTTGTTAACTCCGGCACGCACGAATGGTTTCACACAAAGAATTTTTTGAACGACTTGTACCTTGTACTTGTATTGCTTTGACAGCATTGAATGCCATCTCGTATTTCGATTTTCTTGTAATTGGACTTATATACGCCGTGTATGTTCCTTGGTTCAATTTTTTTGTAAAATGTCTGTCATTCGTCCCTATATATACGTAATAGTTCTCTCAACTTAATTCCTGGAGGCGACTTACAATAACCTCTCCATATCCTCGCTCTCCGCCTCACTGGTGAAGGAGTCGGTATCAGTAAAGTAATCGTCACCTCGATTTCGTCGACAGCAAACCTGCCGACTAATCTCGTCGTCGCTCCAGTGTTCAAACTCCTCTTTGTGATGTTCCAGTATCATTAGTGATGGAAAGAGACTATCGCATGCGTTGCAACTGCAAGATATAGTTTAAGAAGAAGAATACAAAATTTTATGTTATGAGTTTTGTATGGTTTTGTATATATTTCTGGTATAAAAATAATGACACAAGTTTCATTGTTAATGTTTCTGCAAAAGGCCTGACTTAACGATATTCTCTATGTTTATATTTGTCAGGTAATGATCCAGACAATAATATTTTGGAGAAATAAGTCAATTTTTAAGCCATTTTTTGAGGAGGTCGCCGTTTTGCAATCATTCGCTCTTTATATGTATTGACCTATTGAAATTATAAGTTTCCTTGGTTTGTGGTTTTAACTTCAAGAACAAAAGCTTTTCTCACCGCTAGTTACCTTCTTCCAAAGTCCTCCTGGAGATCAACTACGGGTACAAAGGAATTCAAAATATTTCAAAATTGCCGACTATTAAAGTATGTTCAACTATCACTTGAAGGTAGAAAAGACATAGGATAATTTCCCTATTTATATTTTCACAAGTCACCATCTCAGATGATCTAGCAATCATGATCCATATGAAAATCTCCTTCGAGGTTAGTGAGCAAAAAGATGTCAGCGTCTTCAAATAATTCAAAACTCTCTGTTTGAGAGCAAAACCTCAGCCCTCACGAACTCTCTGAGCTATGTGAATACAATTGTGATATATTCTTGCACATCCTTCATTGCAATCCCTACAAGGAACGCAGCTGACAATTAAACTCAAAACGAAATAACTCGTATAATTCAACTCGTATAACTATACCAATGACGGTTGTAGGTTCTGGGAAAATATGCTGATTTATGCCAAACAGACAAACGAGAATCAGACTTCAACAACCAGGTCATGATGCCGGGTAAGGACTCATTAGCCACCGAAAGCATTGTGGCGCACAACTGCCTGCTAATTCCAATTAGACATGTGTAGTTGGAGTGCGGGTCTGGGTGTAGGTGTGGGTGAGCAACTGCTCCTTGTCGCCGCCGTTGATATTGTTAATGATCGTAATGGTAATGGCCTTGACGGCGCAAAGTGTGGAGCATCTCTGCTGTTGACTGCTGGCTGTTGGCTGCTGCCTTCGCTTAGAACTCATTTGTATAAATGAATAGAAATGACTGATTACTGCTAAATGACTGCTCCTGGTCGGCTGGACTCCCGGTCTGCCATGCTTGTGGGATGCTGAATGTTGTCGAGCTGTCTCGTAATTAGATTCCGCTTTCAGATTAGTTATTCTCATTATGTTTGCATAATTAATTTACTAAGTATGTGTCAGTGCGTGTTTACAGCAACTCAACTTTGCACGCTCATATTTGAATGATTAATTTTGAGTTTTAGAGCTTTTTAAATATGTATATACCAAAACTTAATGGAGTAAATGTAATGACTTAACTATATGCGTACTCCATCCTTGATGTTATTTTTAATTCAAAATAAGTTCTTAGGTTTGTCTAAAATATTTGTCTTTTGCCTTCCACTTTTAAGGCATCAGTGAGTATTCCTCCTATGCAATTTCCTTTGAAAACCGTGCTCAACTTTCGATAGAAAATTTAATTTACTTAAATTGTTTCCATTAATAACAAAATCCGCAGTGTGCTATAATCCGCTATCAATTGTGCTGATAAAAATGAGCTAAGCTGAATAATTGAAGCAAATAAGTTTCCGCATTCACGGAAATGGCGACTTGAAAACAAAAAAGTCTTCTGACTGCTGATACAATTTCTATTGAATGGACAAATCAATAACTGTAAACATGAACCTATATATTTTTGATAGATTTAAATTTTACACACACACACATATACTTATGCAGCGGGATATTATATTTTTATATGTGCTAAACTGAATTTATTTAAAATACATATACCTATGTGAACATACATACGGATATTCTCGATTATTTAGCCAAGAGATTTACGCTTTGTTGCTCGCAAAATAATTTACGGTTTTTTTGTTCGAAAGCATTTGTGTGCAAAAGCCTGCTGTGTCGAATTAAATATGTGGCTTCCGTGATTGTGATTTCATGAATTCAATTATTTGAGTAGAACTCAACATTATCACGCAATCTCCTAATCCTCCTCTAAAACCTAAACTAAAACCAAACCTAACTATTGTTTCCAACAGCTATTCTACAATATCAAAAGAGTTTCACCGCCTGATGTCTTCCAAAAGTAACCAAAGCCTGTTACAGATCCTTAAATGCCTTACAGTGCGTGCCTTAAGTACGTTCGTTAGAGAAAATATGTGCCGCAAATTGTGCTGATCAGCGTGGATAGTGCCTGGAAAGTATTGCAGATATAATTGTAAACTCAATACTTCATGGATATATTCAGAAATGAATTTTAAGAACAAACAATATGTGCACATACATACATATATGCTATACTTATTTACACTCGAATTTATGTAAACGAATATGAATGGAAGCTTTTATGATGAATATTCATATGGTGGAAGCCGCAAGTTTTGCAATGAAATGGTGTTCACTACAATATGGGAAATGACATTTTTGCTTCGGACAGCTGTCAAATAAAATAAAAGAGCATTGGTTTGACGTGAAAAATCTGTCAACTTCCATTAAAATAAAATCCTTTTTGGAGTGCGGCGAATCATTTTGTCATGATTTTGATATTCCGCAAACAACTTTTCACTTATTTAAATATCATTTTTTATAAAATTTACACATTCTCATAAATATGTCTCTATTAAATTTCACCCATAATTATTATTAGAAAGGGCTGAAATTAGTCCTTACCCCTTCTTACAAGTGTGCTTTTGTGGTAAAATTTAAGGATTAAAAAACAAATGAATATTTTGGCATCATACAATATAGACAGCAAACAACGTCATATTTCTACCCACTCTTTTGACATTTCTCTTCAATAGGGATTGACATTTCATCATGGAAAGATATACGATCCAACAACAAGTCGATTTACTACCGAAATTCGGAGTCAGTGGCCTCAACATTAAGAGTACTGCGTCCAATTTATGGTCGTCATAATCGTCCAAAAATGCTCCCGTACCAGTAAGACAAAGAAGTGCCCGTAGTTTCAAGAATATTGCTGCAGCTATCTCTCACACGTCGTTTTAAAGCTTTAGGCAACTCTGTGACGACGAAAGGCAACTTCAGCGATGATACTTATTTCTGACTGAATCGCTGCGTCAACAAACAAAATATGCATTATTGGTACGTCAGCACTGCACACGTACTTCATGAGCCACCATTGCAACCCGATAAAATTACGGTTTGGTGCAGTTTATGGACCAGCGGCGTCATTGGGCCGTACTTCTTCTATAATGGGAGTCGCAACCGCTCAATAATAATCGAATACTTATGGCTAGAATTGGATGATATGAACTAGGACCATATTTGGTTCCAACAGGACGGCGCAGCAAGCCACACATCAAATGTCACAATCGATTTATTGAAAACCAAGTTTGGTGAACGTTTTATCTCACGAAATCGACCTGTCAATTGGTGCCGTTAAACTATTTCCTCTAACACTACGTAAAATTTATGATCTATGCCAACAAGTCAGCGACAATTGATTAACTTCGTACGAATATCGAACGGGAAATTGCAGCAGCATCGGCCGAGTTATGCTTGAAAATCGTCGAAAATTGGGTTCAGCGTCTGAACTTCTGCGAACGTGCCCGTATTGGCCAAAAGAAATCGAGTTCCATACATATTGGCATTGAATGTACTTTCTCAGTAATTTCATTGTTGTTCATTTCAATTTTTTTATTTAAAAATTATTAAAAAAAAAAAGCATTACACCCTCAGGCATTCAGTTGGTAACATACTAAGTCAGTTTTTTGGAAACATAATCAATATAGATTTTTTTTGGCACTCCATTTTTTTGGGTTTACAGAGAAAATATGGCAATTCATTGTTTGATCAATAAATCATAAGTAAGTACTCATTAAGTTATATACATCAATAAAAAATAGCTTGTGACCTTAAGATGTTTTCTTGGTTTCGTTGTACCCGAATAGACACTCACCCGAAATGACGTTTCTTCTGCTGATGCGAAGCCAATTGCCTATGACAATGGAAAGCTCTATCACAAACATTGCATGTCAGAGATTCATCTGTAAAAAAGGCCCAAATTTATTTGAATATATCATATGTATGTCAATATATGCAAAGAGAAAATGAGAAAAACAACAAAAGCAATAAAATATTGGGTATCGAGATGTTTTTCTTCTATTATTTGTACATGGTTAATGCAAATGGGGTTTGAAAATATATTGCTTCCTCCCTTCTCGTTTCTTTCAATTTTATTCCCTCCATTTCTCAATGCTATTTAGGATTTTTATGTTTTATCCTTTTTTCTATTTGTTTGTATGTATGCACTTACCGTAATCATCATCATCTGATATCGCCATCGCTTGCAGTCGGTTAATGGTGTTCTCATTGACTTCCTTGTGCCTCTGAATTGCGGATGAGTTCAATTGCGATGCGCCAGCGACTCCCGCGCAGCCCGTCGCATCATTTAGGTGGCACATGCCTTCGTTAACGAAATTTCCCTGGCAATCGGGCAGTGTACAAGGAGTCGTGGATCCATTAATAGCAGCTGCGCCAGCGCGACCACCTCCTCCACACCCGCCATCGATCAGCCCTGAGTGCACATGTTGGCATGTGGCGCTGCCATTGCCGTTGACGTTGGCGTTGCCATTGCCATCATTACATCCACTGCCCGAAGTTATTATTTTGAAATTATCAAATTCGTCAAAGGGATCATCGATTTTGTGCTTTTGCTGTGAACTGGCATCGTCCGAATCGGCACTAAGTCGCCCGTAAGCTTTACGTGGCGGTCGCTTCACATATTTATCTGCAAATAGAAGGGAGTGAGTCCAATCAATCTAAGCATAAAAGGTAGTTATAATGAAGATAAGCAAATAAGTGCGGCAGGAGTATTGAAGACCAATCATTTTCCATACGCCTGCATTTACACTTACAGATGTAAACCTTTATATGAAGGTGCTCAACATTTCGAAAGGAATTTACAAGCAATTCAAGGAAAAACTTGTCAAAAGTAGTTGTTCTAGTCAAACTACAAGTTGTAGCTAACTGTAGCAGAATATCACATAATTGATGTTGATGGGAACACCGGAAATGAGTTTCACATTGCATATTTTCCTGATTACCACCACTCGTAAACTAAGCAAACTAAACTACTGAGCGTATTAATACACCTCCATCTGGCATTGTAAACCAGCGAGTGTAACCTAACCTTACCTAATGAAAACTGTGAGAGAATTAATCTTAAAGCACTTTGAATTAAATTTTGCAATTATCTCATTAAGGTTTTCAGTGATAACGGCGGAAGCTGCGGTTTCACTTAATCACGGTTAGTTTGCACACACAAGAGAGAAAAAGAGAAATTCGCGTGTAATCATAAGACAATAGAGAGTGACATAAAACAGCGAGATTCCACATCCCGCTTCGTAAGTATTAATTCGCAAAGACGTCCCGAAATGCTTGTGAACTTGCACGGGATGTCGGATGTATATAAAGTTTTTCCCTCACAAAGTACTAACGTATTTACATACATATTTATTTCCAAGGAAAGTACTCAGAAATGCTTTCAGTGATAATGCGAGCAGAAAAACATTCATTCATGGATGTTGAAGCTAATGACAGCACTCAATTCTACAAACACGATGACATTTAACGCACTCGAAAACTCTTCCAACAATTTTATGTTTCGCTGCCTGCAGCTGTGGGGCTCATGTTATACCGTATACATATTTACGTAGGTTTGTATGGATATATGCCTGTTTATATATCAATATGGACATATTATGGCCATCTTCCATTGTAAATGAATTTGAGCCTCGCAAACCCAGTGAGAAAATGAGCTATAAATTGTATAATACAAATTATTCATGTTGATAACACACAGAAGATACTTATATGGATTTCACTTAAAGCAATGATACATCTAAGATTCTAAAACAAATCCAATTGTATGTTTTTGGAGACAAACTCAGTGTCATTCATGCACAAAAGAGTCTGCCGAAAAGAATACTCAATCAGAAATGGTTCAAAAATGATCCAAGTTGATCTCTGGATGCATAGGTACCGCACAGTTTTCTGTAAGGAATCACAGCCCACCGAAGTGAGACTGCTATAAAGAAAAATAACAGTACTTTTTCATAATTTCGTTCCTCCGTCTCCTCTGATTACATGTAACTTGTGCAGAAGCACTTTACATTTTTCACTGAAACTTTTCCTTTGTCTTCAACTTTCAACAACGGCACATGCGATTTTTCTGCCATTATAGCTTAAGTGCTTCGTTTGTGGGAAATKCCGCCTACACGCACCGTTATATATATATATATTTGTTTGTAAGTGAAGCATGCAAATATGAAAGTACAAATATTTACGCTCGAACTAAAAAGAAAGAACGAAAATATATAAAATGTTGTAATCTAAAAGGATCTGCCGCGAGATAAATGTGTTACCATCATTGCCATTATTATTATCATCACTTTTGTTTCCTTAAAGTTTATCATGCAACCACTTCGTGAATACTTTCCTTTTTGTTCTTGACGATCACATACTCATAAATAGAAATAAATTTTAATCGGGAATATATGGTAACCTCAGTTGTTTGTTGCGCATTAAAGCAGACGGTGCCGCCGCCAAAATCGTACTGAATCGATCTTTAGTATATATCCAGAATTTGTAATGGTTACATGTGGTTTTATAGGCCTTTTGAGGCACATGCAGCACCCTTTCTTTTTAGCTCTCTTTTCCATGAGCATTACTTCCAATTGCGAATTTCCCATAACCCAACGAAACTTGCTTCATCCATAACTTCAGGTGCGGTCTATTGCTACATGCCGCACAGATAAAATTTTTACTTGCACTACTCTTTCCAATTCAAATTCTTTGTTGTCGTTTGACATGTTGTCACAGTGGTTGGGTTTTAGCTACCTCTTTTGTTATTGTAAATGAAATTACATATGCGTACATTCCAGTAAATGTTGTTGCTAATGATTATTCCTTTGTAAAATGTTGATCTATGAAGAATCACCCGAAAGTTCTGCATAGTGAATTTATGACTGTACGTGACTTGAACGCACATCGGTGAACACAAGATGGTAGAGACAACGTCAGGATGACAACAAAATGAGCACTCCACCTGCTGTCGACTGCGTTCACCTTAAATACAGCAAGTGACATACCGCCTCCTGTGCTGTGAACCGAACATGGCTGCTGAAGACTCAACATCTTCCCCTCTTTTGGCGCTTAGTAAACACCGCAGCGGGAGAAGTCGGGGTTGTAGTGAGTACTATACATATTGACGGTAGTCGTTGAGTTTATCAGTATAAGAACTTGTTTTCTTAGTTATTTTCGTGTTTCTCCTTGTTATTTTACACAGCATTTGCTGTGCAAAAGTTTCACTGCAAGGTGCACTCTTAGTCTAGCCTTGTCGTAGTTGCATCCATTATACATTATACATACATAAATCAATGTCGCTGTCACAGCCTGGCTGGTAACTGAACGGTACGGTGGAAGGGGTGCAGGACGTTGGACCTGCAGAATGTTGAGAGGTTTATGAGGTGCTCGCTTGACTAGTGAACTATGCGAAGCTATAACGTGGGATGAACTTTCAAATGATTTCTTACTAATTGATCTAATGATAATATATTCATTCATAGTACATACACATATACTCAATAACTCGTATAAAGAAAAAGCTTTCCTGAAGAAAATCAGGTTAAAAGTTAAAAATAGAAACAAAAATTCTAAATAAAACCTCAAATCTAAAGTTCTTAAATTATACATACAGGGTTTGTCCGGAGAGTTATAGGACTGATTTTCTTCCGCCGCGACTGAACTTTGGAGCGCCCTCGCACCGCCTGAATTCGGTAGAGGGCGTTCCAAGCTAACGAACGAGCAGCTAGTCAGTTGTCTCCGAGCATCTGGAGACTCACGACAAACATTTTCGAGCGAAGTGTCTCTGTGAGTGCTGCAAGCCGCAAATGCAGCGTTCGTTAGAGCAGAGGTATGCGATTAAATTCTGCGTGAAGCTCAGTAAATCCGCGACATGTTGCTTTAGCATGAAGTGGTGTGTTTCGGTGGCACCAGGCCTTTTTGGAGGACCCTCGCCCTCGCACATCCAAAATGAAATCGATGCTCATTGTCTTTTTTGACATCAAGCGCATCGTCCACCAAATTTTACGTGGAAGTTCTCAGGAAGCTCAAACAAAAGGTCAATCGGGTCCGCCAAGATATCACAGCAAGCATTTTGAGAGACGATAGAGGTAACCACGCAGCTCGCACCTCGGGTCTCAAGGCCTTCCGTGACGCTTTCAATGCTTGAAAATCGCGCTGGCAGCGCTGCATCTTCGCTGAATTAGCCTATTTTGAAAGGTTTTGAAGAATTTTAACGATTGGATCAAAAAAATTTTTTTTAAATCGAGTCAATCCTATTACTTTCCGGACAATCCCTGGAACGACCGGATATAGCTGCCATACGAACTGACCGCGCAAAAGTAAATTATTTGTTATTGTATAAGATATATTCACGAAATTTGACATGAACAATGATACCTGGCATTTCAAATTGTTCAGATCAGACCTTAATTCGACTTAAAGGTTGTCAATTACTGTGGGAAGAAAGAACTATAAGCATTGTTTGCGGTGGATGCAAAGCCGGTAATGTAAAAAACTATCTGTGTGACATATATAAAACTCATTAGACTTTCGTGAATGGACCGGGACGTGTCTTCTCTTTTAATAAATACTAAACGACTTTCTCGTCGAATCTTTCAATTATCTCCACTCCCCAATACATGAATTATCATGCCATTAGCGTCGTAATTCACATCACTTGATGTCTAAGCAGTCACAATTACAACTGGCGCTAATTACCAACTATCCGAACTCACAGACACAATTCCTTTCTTTTGGAATGCTCAAGCTTGAGTAACCAAATAGTCGCGATATCACTTTATTAATCAAAGCGAATAGAGATAAGCTAAACATACTGCCTCTTAGTATATAACGCGCATATTCGCCTACAAAATAACTAAAAAATTAAATAATTTATCAGCCCATAATCTCCTACAACAACAGCTATTTTTGGATTGATTGAAAAACTGCTTTAGCTACAAACTAAATAATGTTTTTGAAAAAAAAGTTTAAGTCAATCCATTCTTTCATTTTTATTTTGCTAGTGACCATCTTCCTCCAAAAGCATTGTATTGAACAAAAACGGACCGTCCCTACATCGGACCAGAGGTTGGCCATTTTGGTTCTGTTTTTTACAACTTTATCGCTGATGCTACATTCATCAATTGATGCTCATCCTCGTGAGTTTATCGCACATGCATTTTTTGCTTTCCGAGTGATTTCAAATCGCTTTATTACCATTGACACATGCCATAATCCATTCAAGCAACCATAACCTCGCATTCACTCGTATACATATGTATGTGAGTAAATTTGGAGCAGTGGTTTATATGGCAATTTATCGACGCCCCTCGAAAAGTGGGATAATTTGAGCAGGGCAGGACACATAATGCCTGAAAGCGGAAGCAGTTACTAGACGAGAGAACCGCTATGAATATCACAGTAATTAAGGATGCCGCATATGTGGTTGCGGGTAAGCCATATTCGTCTCATTCTGCACGAATGTAGTGAATGTAGCAACAACCACTCAAGCATCGTGCCAAACAAGCCGCAAATGCCGCAATTTCTCAAGCAGTAATTTGCATATTCGCACATGTTTTGGTGTGTCATAATTGTATATCTCCATTTACATTTCTGGATTATGCCCCTCTATCGAATGCATCACACAATGTTCACCGTCATCCC